TATGCTTGATGATATGAATCAAGAAATAAGCAGAATAGACTCTCCCATCGGCAAGGGGGAAGTAAAGGGGAAGTAAAAGAAAGAAGAAGAAGAAGAAGAAGAAGAAGAAGAAGAAGAAGAAGAAGAAGAAGAAGAAGAATGGAGGGAGAAGGAAATGAAAAAGAGAAGAAAAGGAGAAGTAAAGGCAGCAAAGCCTAACTAGTCTCCCTCTAGGGCCCGTCCGAAGGCGAGATGGTAGTTAGAAATGTGATGTGTCTTCAAATTTCCATGTTAGGCTCGAAAGATTGGGTGGGAGAAGATAAGAAAAGTCCGACCTCGACCAAGCCAGGAGAGGCGGTTAAAGAACAGGCTATTCAGGCTTGGTTTCTTTGTCTTTGTCCTTGTCCTTGTCCTTATCCTTTTCTTCCTCCTCTATGCTAGCCTGAACATCCAGCTCGGCGATCTTGTCGTCAATTGTGACTTCAGGGCCCGGGGATTCCTGGGCTGCCTGGCTGACTAAATCGTCTTTGAGCTTCGCATTGAGACCGAGATCCTTATCCGATAAGCCTTCAGAGTTCTCCAGTTTCTTCTGAGCTTCTTCGACGATCTTGTCCGCCTCGCTCACCCCGCCCTTTTGCTTGGACAATGGGTCCCCTTCAACCCCAATTGGGTCGGTCCGTCGTTCCATAACATCGCGAATGATGTCTGAATTGAATCGCACGACCATGCATGACAGGTTATCCGTGCTGAATCGTGACAGAGCGTGGTCGACAAGGATTTTAGAAGCCTCTTGAGCGTCTTTGACATGGCGAATGAGATCGACGGCTTCTTGGTCGCTACAGACGTCCCAAAGCTGTCGAGAGCGTTAGTTTCCTATACAAAAAATTAAAAACAGAAACAGAACTGTGGGTACGTACTCCATCACAGGCCAAGATGAGAAATTCATCCTGATCAGGTTGGATAACCGTCTCGGTGGTGTACGGATGGCCGGTAACGAGGTCTTTCAGATACGCATCTCCGAGAGCCCTCGTGACGGCGAGAACACCGTTGACGCGGTTGTTGAGTATCAGTCCACCTGCATTGGCGATTCTTCTCCCCTCGTTCTCATCACTACCTTTATGGTCGTAGGACAAGCGGAGGGCTTTGCCATTCCGACATAATACGATTCGAGCATCACCAACATTGGCAGTGTACAAAACACGCTGACGGACCGTAGTCTGCTTGGGCTTTGGAGGAGCAGCCGCGTCTGCGGAGGATTGAGACGTATTCGAAGACTCTCCGGTCTGGGCAGAAGTCTGGGCAGAATCGGAATCGGCTTCCGGGCCTGAAACAGGCTTGTTCGCCGCAGAAGCCCCCGCTGGCGCAAGGGCAGATGAGCCTGTCGCAGATTGCGGATTGGGGATGCGATCCTCCCATCGGAGGACAGCCGCGACAGCTGTGCAACCACTATTTCTCAGCGGCAGTTTCTCCAATTGCTGGTCGACACTAGTGAAAGCCTGATCAAGGAGCTCCGGAACGGGTGTGTTCGGATTCTTCCGCATTATATCCTCAAGAATGAGGTGAAGTTTCTTCCCGCACCATTCCGCAGCGAAGGTTCCTGCATGCCCATCAAAAATCGCAAAGTAACCGTTATCTGTCTCGACGACATGCGTGGACTCATTGCTGTCGGTGGAGGTATCAGCCGAGTCTTTTCCATTCGCAGTAGAGTCCCCCGTGGCCGGAGCCGGGGTCCCTAGGAAGTTGTACAGATAAGCATGTGTATCTTCCATAGTCCTGCGACATTTTCGATTTCGGTCCTCGGTGACGCCAACTCTGAAGGATGAACGGAGTGTCGGCAATGATTCGCCAGCAGAGTTGTTCAGCGAACCTTGCGGAACGCTCAAGGCAGGATCCATCTTTCCCAGCTTCTGCAGAGGAGTCCGGGCCGTCTGTGACGTCGTATTTGATGACTCCCGAGAACTCGAGAAGTGGAATGAGTTCTTCGCGCTAGCAAAGAAGGAGGCTGCTTTCGTCACGGAACTGCTCCTACGCTTCTTCTCACCGCCAGGATCCTGGTCGTCACTGTGCTTCCTGTTAAACGATCCGCTGGATGGAGATGTGCGTTTCTCATGCACAACACTGACTTCTTCAGTGTTGACTTTCAAGGCAGTTTGGAGATGATCGGTTTTCTCTTTGGGTGGGCTCGAGGAGCCACCGAACATTCTGTTCAGTAACCCACCCTGGCCAGAGAAACTCCTGCGCTTGTTTCCTGCCAGCTTGACCGTCGAAGGCAGTCCCAATCAAAAATAGAAGAAAGTATCGAAGAAATGTATGGCGAATTAAAGGGATCGAAGTGAAGATCGACGACCGGGATGGCCGTATCGGGGGATGGCGGAGATATGCTTGGGAGGAAGGTAGAGCAGACGGTGACAATGTGGTAACTTCAGTGAAAATATCGCTAGAGTCTTCACGGAGATCTCCATATCAGCAACAGTCTTTGTCATTCACAAAACAGATGAGCAGCAATTCCAAAAGGCACGGCAGTGACGTGACACAGAGCACTTATTCCTAGAAGTGACGGTCGCCGGTAAACGGCAGTGGGAAGCGGAGGACTAGGCCACCCATCCAGAATCATCATGTCTGTACAAACCTATGTCTCTGGCCTGGAACTGATCTAGAGGTAGTTCAAGGAAGCAACTAAAACATACCAGAAGTGAATGTCGCAGGCCACTGGGTCAGCTATGATGGACCAGCAGGTGCAGTTGTAGACTGACGCAGGGCCAGCTCAGCCAAACCCCACAAGTTCGCTGCGGGATGAGGAGAGGAACCACACGAGGTTACACGGAGTTGGAGAACTCAGGGCAGAGTTCTCCGCCGAGAAATAAGATGGATGATGATGTCAAGAAGGGGGCCGTCAGTAGGACGGCAGTGAGCAGGTCTGGCGAGGTAGACAGAGGGTCGAGGGGTCCAGCGGAGATACCTCTGCGATGCCCATACCCGAACGGTGGGTGCAGCGGTGCTGGGAGGCGCAGCACGACCCAGGACAGTGGGGAGGAAGCGCCAGAAGCGTGGCCAAGAACACCTTAGGCTTGTTGGCAGGCGGATTTGTTGGAGATGATTCTTAGAGTCGCTCATCCGGAGTCGGCCCAGAAAGGACTGGCCAGGCGGGGCCGGATGTGCCAAAGCGGATCCCACGCAGGCCTGACAAACTCCATCGTCACCAGCAGAGTAAAGACACAGGTCCCTTGCATCTGTCAGGCGCATGATGCAGGTGGAGAGGCCCGTGTTCAGTCCGGAAGAGCCCGTCACTGACAACAGGAGCTCAGCAAACCAGACGGACACTTCCATGAGTGCCGACTGCTTATTGTGGATTACGTGAGAAGAATTGTCGATTTGCATGCGGCAATTCCATGTCATCAAATAAAAAGAGGACCAGGGAATACGCATGCTAAATATGTTGTTTGCCAAATTCCGCAGTCGAATACATCCCAATCCATACCTGGTAATTCAACTCGTACCCAATAACCAATGGGGTTGGATTTCTGTAGCACTTCTCATCTCATACCGATACCCTGTCCCAAGCAAACTCCCAAACACCCTACCACATAACCGGGCAATTGCAAGCAAAGAAGAAAAGGATCACCGGTCATCATATCATGAGCATAGGGGGAAAATAATGAAAGCTATCTTCGAAGACTGTCCAGTCTGGCCTGCAGGTCATCGTCGTCATTATGTCCACCACCAACGGCCTGGGCAACCTTAGCTTCCCCAACGCCCTCCTTGTGAAGTCCTGACGGAGTTTCTCCTAGCTAAAAATCCACTTAGATCAGTATCTCTCTTCCAACACAAAAGGAGGGGCCCGTGGAAGGGCGACAGAGGACAAGGAAGAGAAACACGAGACAGGGACGGGTGGACGAACCGCCTGGCTGAGATCAACTCCGATTTCATCAAGCACCTCCTTGACGATCTCTTCACTTTCCTCTTCGTCTTCAATCCCAGTCGCCTCATCGATGGCATCATCCATCATTTCTTGCCGTTCGTCCATAATTTCGTTCTCCCGCTCAAATTCCATGGCGATTCGCTGCAAGGCGGGAAGATTCATCTGCCGGTTCATGCTCCCCAGGAGCATCGTAGCGCCCTTCATGGACTGCATCATTTGCTCATTACTCCGGACCGTCTGCTCACATCCATCATCAGTATGGAGCTACCGGGTAACGCCTGGAGAAGGCTTCGTACCTGGATTCGGAGAGAAATCGCCTGTAGTTGCGTCCGCATCGAGTAGAACTTCTGGATGTATCTGAAGGCAATGCTCGTTAGCATCCCACGTGCTCTCCCCTGACCGGTCAATTCTGCATGGCAACACGACGCACCTTCGTGTTCGCACCAGGTCTTTCGCCTGGATCTTGCAAGCGCCAATCTGGCCATTCTTCGCGCTCTTTTTGATGTCCTGGACCAGTTTTTTCTCCTGGTTCTCGAGCTTGATCCGTTCTCGGTCCAGCTCACGTTGTGTTCGCTCCAAAGCTCGCTGGTGTTTTCGCAGACGCTCTGCCGGCGTCATGCGCTTCCCGAAGGCCCATTCAACGATCTAGGCAGCACTGTCAGCGGGGAGGGGAGCAACCAGACGCCACAGGAAGGCACTCACATTCATGGTCGCGAGAATGGCACACGAACGAGCAGCAGGCCAGGAAAAACAGAAGGCTACAAGGGGCCGTCGGACGGGCTTTGAGTTCCAGGATAGGAAGCTGTATTCGCGGTAAAAGTGACATCAAGCATTGCGGGCGAGGCGGGATTGGGAGGACTGCGGTGCCTGCACTGACCCCGATAAGCCCCTGTCAGCCGCTGGCCAAGAGCCGCCAATCCGTTTCGGTCCGGGTCGCAGCCGGGCCGCCGATGCCCTCACTTCAAGTCGCCTTCCGAGGAACTCAACTTTTGCACGCCTCCGCGATTCCATCCCTCCTCGCCTTGTTGCATTTCATGGAGACCAGAGTTTCGCCGTCTAGATAACGTCCTTTCGCCTCGCTTGCCATGAGCCAGCAGTATCATCCCAACAAGGGCCATTCGTCCTCGGCAGGGGAGGGGTCCTCGAGGCGCCGCGACGATGACGAATATCCGGCCGAATATCCTTTCCCTCAGGCTCCGCCCAAGTACATGACTGTTGGCAATGGCACCACGTCAGCAGCAGCGGAAGCACTCATGGCGTCCCTGAACCAGGACTCCGGTTATGGAGGTAGTATTTCCGGGGATAGCGCCATCGACGCCGGAGACCCTGCAGGATGGCGCGCAGGTCTGCTGGAGGACAGGCCAACTCCGGCGCACACGCCTACCTTTCCTGGAGAGTGGAATCCAGCAGGTATGTCGCAGGAATGCTGCTTCAAACTATCAAATCTAACTGACTTTTCACAATAGCCGAGAACGAGAGGCAAGTTGTGGCCAGCCATGTCCATCAACTCCTTTAGTACGTGATCACCTTCTAGTGATGTGGAGCTAAATTAACATTGCGTGCAGTAACTCCAACCGCGCAAAGCTCGCCCGAGCTATCACGCGTACAATCGAAATTTTAAAGGAGCTTCAAGAGATGAACCGTCAGTGGCCTGCACATTATCCCTCCGTCCAAAGCACCCCGGCTTCCCCCTCGCAGCCGTCGGCACTACATCGCACTCAGTCAGCCTACAATGAATTCGATGCCAGAGATGCTTCGCTGCCGCGACCAGGGCAAGTGAGACGTGCGGCCACGTCAATGGGAGATGGCGACTACGGCGAGTCGAGTGCTGCTGCGGAACGTCGTGCACCTGCAGAGCCTCGACTGATAACCCCACAAATCGCGCAAGAGTTCTCTATTCTAAAACTGGACCTAAAGCTTGGGGCATTGTCACAAGCGGAGCTGGTGCATTCCCTGGAAAAGACCTCGATAGCTTCGTTACTAGATGGCAAAATCAGCCAGAGCATCAAACATCTTCTTTCGCTTCGGGAAAGGATAGAGGATACGTCCAGCAAAGTGCTTGTGACTGGCGACCTGAATGCTGGGAAGTCAACATTCTGCAATGCTCTCCTGCGTCGAAAGATCCTGCCTGAAGATCAGCAGCCTTGCACGAGTATCTTTTGCGAAGTCCTCGATGCTAGAGAGAATGGCGGTGTTGAAGAAGTCCACGCCGTGCACAAGGACAAGCAGTACAATCGCAATGATGAAAGCACCTACGATGTCTACCCGTTGGAGGAGCTGGAAAACATTGTGATCGACAATTCCAAGTATATGCAGTGCAAGGTTTATGTCAAGGACGTGAGGTCGATTGATGAATCCCTCCTCAATAATGGTGTCGTTGATATCGCTCTTATTGACGCTCCGGGTTTGAATTCCGATTCCGTCAAGACCACGGCTGTTTTTGCACGGCAAGAGGAAATTGACGTTGTTGTCTTTGTCGTCTCGGCAGCAAACCACTTCACTCTGTCGGCGAGAGAGTTCATTTCGAATGCAGCGCATGAAAAGGCATACATTTTCATGGTTGTCAATGGTTTCGATAACATCAGAGACAAAGCGAGGTGCCGGAGAATGATCCTCGAGCAGATCGCGCAACTGAGTCCCCGGACTTTCAAGGAGTCGGCCGAGCTGGTTCACTTTGTTTCAAGCAATGCTGTCCCGGTTGCCCCTGGTGCTGTGGTGAGCTCTGGCTCTGGCAGCGGCGGTGGCTCGGATCCTTCTGGCGATGATCCGGACGACGATGATGATGATAAAGGGAAAGGCAAGGCTGTGGACTCCAAGGACAAGGGAAAGGGCAAGGAGAGGCAGAAGATTGAGGATTTTGAGAAATTAGAAGCATCTTTGCGTCGGTTTGTCCTCGAAAAACGTGCACGATCGAAGTTGGCTCCCGCTCGAACATACTTACTGAACGTGCTCTCTGACCTCAATACCCTTGCGTCCGTTAACCGGGATGTTGCGCAATCGGAGCTCAAGCGTGTTTCAGAAGAGTTGGACGAAATCATTCCGGCGTACGAGAATGGGAAGAAGAAGAAGACTGAAGTCGCGGAGGAGATCGAGGCAGCCATTGAAAAATCGTGCGAAGATGTCTATGATCATACCCGCTCGACTCTGACCAACACGATAGAACGGGTCGCAGAGGCAGATCTGGGCGTTGAATATCCTGGTTTATTCTCCGTATTTCAATATGCAGAGGATTTGAAACTTGCCATGCTTGACCAGATCTCTGCGTCTGTTTCGGATTGTGAGGACTATGCCAGAGCCAAGACGGTGCAGGGAGTGAATTTCATCCAGAATATTGGCCTGCTTCACGTTGGTGAAGACAAGTTCTCGCCACTCAGTTTCCGCGCTGACAACATGTTCCGAAAACGCCGTGACGCTCTTGCTCGACAGATCGACACTCAAGTGGAACTATGGGATTTCTTCGATATTCCTGGTCTGTGGGAACGGCAAGAGAAGGTTGCGGGGACCGGTATGGCTATGACGGTCCTGACGGTGCTCGGTGGCAGAGCTGTCGGTGGTATTGGATGGGTCGATGGAGTGTTTGGTGCAGCTAAAATCCTGGGACCGAACAACTTGCGGCGGATGATCGTTCCTGGAATCGTCGCTGCAGGTGAGTTTTATATCATATTAGTTGGTTATCAGAGGACATCACTAACGTTTGTCTTGCAGCTGTTTTGACTGCCGCTTACCTCCTGTCTGCCATCCCGAACACTCTTCCTCCTCGTCTCTCACGCAAGTTGGCCGCCAGTCTCGCTGAGATGGACTATGTGCACTCTAACGCTGCTCGTATATCATCCCAAGTACGCCGCGTCCTTCGCATGCCCGCTGCAAACTTGCAGGCGAGTCTGGCACAAGGCCTTGAAGACCTCAGCAGGCGTAAGGATGAAGTTAGCAAGGTGAAACACGAGAGTGAAGTAGCGAGCAAATACTTTTCCAACTTGTTCCGCGAGTCTCTGGAAAACAGGAGGGCCGTGGAACAGGTCGACTTGGAGGGCCCATTACCTGGGGCACTGGCTGGGTGAATTTAGGGGCGAGATGATCTGGGTGGTCTTGTGTGACAAAGTCTTTTCTTACTGGGTTCGTGTATTTCCCCATCATGGTCGCTTCTGTTTCATTAGAACTCTCTATATCCATTTCATTTTCACTGTCCTCAATTCCCTTCTTTCCCTCCCACATACTCTCTTGTTCTATCTCACCTCTTGCTTCTTCTATTTTTTTTGTATTTCCCTTTTATTTTCCCCTGTATACCCCTACTCAAAGTTTTTCCTCCCCACCTCGACAAAGAATGAAAAAGAAAGAAAAATGCCTTTCCATGGATGGATGGTTGGTTTGTTGGATGGAACCTGCACACTACGTATGGACGATCTCTTTCCTTTCATACCCACCCATACAAACACATTGGGAGAACGGCGCGATCGGCGCCCTGGATGGAAGGAGAGAAGGAAAAGACAAACAAAAAAAATGAAAGGAGGGATGGGAAAGGCTATCATATCTATCGATCAATTCATGATATGATATGATATGAATCGACTATAACGTCATTTTATGTCCCATGCTGTAACTGTGTGATATTATCTCTGTCTCTGTCTTGTGTTCTCTTACTTAGGTGTATGTCTATGTATATGTATGTGTATGTACTTTTTTTCCCACTCTTATCATGTCTCGGTATTGTCGTAATCATCATCATCATCATCATCATCATCATCATCATTATCAAAGAACAAGTGATACATATTGAGAATTTGCATACTATAAGATCAAGCCTATCTACTTAGCATGGTTATTGTTCCCGTAGTATCGTTTTAATTATTATCTAATTCCTTTATAGTCCATGGGCCAGAGAAGACGAGAATACAAGGATCTCAGGCACTGGCAAGAAAGGAAGCTTTGTACATATCTTATGACAGTACAGCATGGTATATACACACAGTGTCTATATATACAGTGCGAGCGCGCCTATTAAGTCATTCCCACTTCTCATTCCCTATGAATTTCGATATCGATGACTTTCTTTTTTTGGTAACAAATATTCATTCATCTATTTAGTCCCACGTCATAACTATGCATAAGAGGGGTTAAAAAAAAGCCGAGAAATAAACCTCTTGATATACCAACGCCGTCTGCAATGCAATGCAATGTACAGTACAATAATGCAACAAATGCTTTTGCGTAAAAAGGGCATACATATTATGACCATCACTCCCCAAAAAAAATTTGGAAATTTAGAAGATATTGTTGTCGGGTTCCTTGGGTTTGCCTGCCCGTCTTGTCCGCTTTGCACTTCCCCATCCTCCTTCAATATCTTCCAGCTCTCGGACCTCGTCTCCTGCCGTGTCTTGTTTGGCTGGATCCTTGTTGTTGTCGTTGTTGTTGCTGTCGCTGTTGTCGCTCTTCCCCCCACGCTTCATGAACTCTTCTCGCATCGCGACCGCGTCGGGGTCTTCGTAGTTGAGCTGTGTCATGGCTGGAGTACCGTCTCCCTCCTGCTCCTCATCTTCGTAGAGCGGGGAATCGACGTAGACGTTGACCTTACCTCCGCTCAGGACGGAGTTGAAACTTTGTCCTCGCATATTGGTAAGATTCTTAGATGAGTTCTGATTGTTGGTGTCCGTATCCGCGCTGACAGCGCTGCCGTATCCGTCTTCGTTGAGTGTATCGACCGAGCTGGCGCGGGATATTCCCTTTGTAGGCCCCGTGCGCGTCGAGGAAAGAGAATTTGTCCTTCCGAGAACCGGTCTTCGCCTTCTCACGGGTTGTTGCTCGCCACCCTCACCTCCAGAATTGCTGGATGCGCGAGAGAAAGCCCGCACTTGTTGGAGGAGCCCGTTGACAGCGTTCTCCAGTGCTTTAGTTGTATTCCTAGACGATGCTGCTTGACCCGTTTCTTCCCGCCTCGCAGGCTCAGTGGTAACTTTTTCACTATCTAACCCTTTGCTAGGAGAACGTGACTTCGACGCATCGAGACCACCTACTGATGCATTTGTCGATTTATCCTTAGGTGCATCGTTATGTCCATTGACAGGTGGCGGATTGGAGACATCACTCTTCGTAGAAGATGAAGCCGATTCGGGTTTGGAAACCGCTCCTTGCTTCGGGGCTTTGCGAGACTCTTCTTTAGATCTCGACTCCACTGGCTGCTTGCTTCGACTGTCTGACCGATTCGAGCTTTTCTGTTCCGCCTTGCTGCTTTGCGAGGATGGTTTTTGAATGAGATACGGGTCGAAAGGTTTTCTTTGGCCTGTCTGTACGGAGATCCATAGCCAATCCGCAGAGACTGTAGGAACACCCCATTCCAAAGTATGACGCAACTTCTCTGGATTTGCAGTCTGAGGATCGTTGCATATTAAGACAGAAGCACTTGGTGTGAGGTATTCTTCGTATGTAGCACCTCCAGAAAGTCAGCGTAAGGCACCCCAAAAAGAAACAGACGCATACCCATTATATTCACCAACTTCGACAAATGCAATAAATCAATGCGCGCGAACCCGGTGGAACAGATTTTCATGCCACCAAATTCTGGACCTGTTACTTAACTGTCTTATGAACCATGTTATCAAAACTCACCTGGAATGGGGAATCGAGGGAACGGTGTGCTAGTGACGTGAGACTCTGGGGGGACGAGCGTCTTTGAGTCCAGACAGCGTTCCAGCCACATGTCTGTGACTACTTCACACTCGAAGGCCATGTCATCCGTTGATGGAATTTCGGATCGGGGGAGCTTGTAAGGAACAATAATATAAAGGCCATGGCCCGTCTTTGGGATGTCAGGGCTTGCGAATTCACTAAGAGACTCGACAATATGTGCCCCGTTGAATGTAAGGTGATGGCGTAATACATCCACCTAGACATGTAAGCGAGGAAAATACTGTATAGCGTCAATACTTACCTGCTTTGGGGTGAACCCATGGATAAAGAAATAACAATTCTGCAAAAACCCTTGAGGCTGGTCAAGAGGCTTCTCCTCAGGAACAGAAGGACCACGGTCCCGCTGGTCAGACACTGTCGTCTCACTGGCAAATGATTTCACCACTTGGATAACTGGTCTGGCCCTGCCAGACGGAGGATTGCCGGTTCTCGGATGTGTCGTGTCAGAATTCCCATTCTCTGCAACTTCAAATCCACCCCCCACGATATCGCCCCATATTCCTTCATTTCGATCACCCAGCTTGCTGCTTGCGACCCTGCGCAGTTTGCGAGCTCGTGGATTCGAGGCGTTTTCTGGCTGCTCTCTTTTTGCAGACACTGAAGGTGCTGAACGATTCCATGCGCCAACACCTTGTTGTTCGGGGGGCAATAGAGGATCGTAAAGGCTTTCGTCAAGAATCATACCGCGCTCCAAGCTGTCTTCAAACCATTTCAGGCTCACAATCTTGATCTTCCATTGTGTCGCAAATTTATATTTCTGGCCCTTTGGCTCGCGGGCGATTAGATGGGTCACGTTTCTAGTCAGATCCTTATTGAATTCAGCGCCGTTCGCAATTGCCGTTTCCTGAAGGTATTTCCTAAAAGCCACTTTTTTCCACGACATCAGTCTTCGGATCGTCAATTGCACCCAGGATTCCAAACTCACTGTCCTCAAAGCCAGTGATACAGATCGAAAGGCCATAGAAAGTTGGAAGCTTGTACTGCTCCTCCAAAGCCTTTAGGTCTGTATCTCCGCCCTGCATCCATGACTGTCGGACAGCCTCAATCCATTGCGGCAGCAAGACAGTAACGTCGGTTCTCTCTCTTGCCACATATTTGTACTTTTCTGTATTCGTCTCTCCCACTAATAAATGTGTCACGTCCGAGGTCAGGTCGAATTTGTGAGTCGCTCCCATCTGGCTCGCAATTTCAACCAATTCGGACTAAACGCGCGTAAAAATCAATCAGCAATGGCATTATATTCTATCCTTTTCATCCCATAGCTAACTTACACGTTGTTCCGGTAGGATAGAAGTGAAGCAGAGAACCACCCCTGCGAGCGGGTGTTCCTTGTCTTCTGTCTTGTCAGCAAATTCAACACGTTGATATGGGCACCGTAGCTATTCTTACCCCTCACAACCCCACCTGCCATTCTTCATCGTTATGGATAATTTCGATATGTGCGCCTCGTGCGCCTGCCAGACGGATTCGAGTGGTCTGCTTTTCGAAGAAGTCTTGCGTACTCCGGGCGCGCTCGAGTGAACGCGATATCACGTGACATTCAGATGGCGGGGAATGGCCTCTACGGAGTAATTACAGTCTACTAAAATCGAACTGATCGAATCTAGAAGTGATTGCCTACTTTATCTGGACATTTGTAGCCAATGATCTGATGTCAGTATCGAATAATTTCTAACTTGCTGGAAATCTACTCCTATTGGCCCATGCCACCTGTGGCTGACTATGCATTGTTAAGGAGGTATGATCAGTGGACGTATTTCTCTGACCATTGTTCCTGTTTGATCTATTATTAGCCAATTGCTTTCCAAGTGATGAACCTGTTCCATTTGAATCCGGTTTTGCTTTGTCAAAGGAATTCATGACTTTGGTTGATTATCATCACGTGATCCAATCAGTCGCGTTTATCGCGCGGCGTCGAGACGCGAAAAAGTACGGAGGACCTCCTATCTAGAGCGAAACGCCAAGCATCGGAGAATGACCGTCTTTCAATATCGACGCTCCTTCTGTGCTTCTTGAGCCGTCTCAAGACCTGCCCCGGTCTTTTATGTTCCTTCTTACGCGTAGAACGCGGGGTGTGGTCTTAATACAGCAGCCCGCTTTCTGCCTTCGAACTGCAACGCCTTGGCTTCCTAAGTTTTCAACATCGTCCCAACGTTTGGAGGAACACCAGGCGACGGCGATGTTCAGGAAAGCGGTCCAGGACCATTCCGGGGCTGCGAAGCCTCTTCAACCTAACACCTCGCGTTTAAACACGACTGCTCCGCCTGTGTCGAAAACTGCGTCCCCCGTCGCCGGAGCCAAGCGGAAGTTCGAAATGGCTAATGCCGGGCAGTCGAATCTGGGATCTCTACACAATCCCGTGTGGATTGACGAGAATGATTTCGACGATGAATTGGACCTCGACGCCCCCGATCCGGTTCCCCAGTCTCAGAAACCTACATCGACATCTCCAGAATTGCCAAAATTCTCTCGACCCTCGCCTGCCGCGAACGGTTCATCGAGTCAGAAAGTGTCCGCTCAGGCTACCTCTCAAGAAAAAATAAAGTATCCTGAGCTGCCGCCAGTGGAAGAATCGCCGCCAGAACCAGCGCCGTCCAGCAGTGTACCGATCCCCTGGTCATCTTCGCCGCCATCACACTTCGCCCCGCCGCCTAAACGTCGGACACTGCCATGGCTCAACAATGAAACGGATAATGATAGCAAGAACCAAGCTTCTCCGGTACAAATGAAGCCTGCTACTCCGGCGCACACAAAGCCTACATTGCCATGGAACAAAACGGCGAGCGCCGTGAAAGAAGAGCAGAAAGAACTTCGGCGACAAAATAAAAAGCGACAACAGGAAGCTGAAAAGCCTCGGATGTATCGTCCGCCTGAAAGAGTCGCGTCGCTGTTCCTTAGTGACGAGCAGCGTAGTGTTCTTGAGGCTGTCGTCGATAAGGGGAAAAGCATATTTTTCACAGGATCCGCAGGAACTGGTAAATCAGTCCTGATGAGAGAGATCATCAAGAAACTCCGTGAGAAGTATAGAAGAGAGCCAGATAGAGTAGCCGTTACTGCATCTACTGGTCTTGCCGCCTGCAATATCGAAGGTGTTACACTGCATAGTTTTGCTGGGATCGGTTTGGGCAAGGAATCTGCACAGGAACTTGTCAAAAAGGTAATGCACCCTTGCGGCCGAGTTGGAGATTCTCTCTAACCAAGAGTAGATCCGAAAGAATCAGAAGGCCCGGAATCGTTGGTTGCGGACCAAGATCTTAATCATTGATGAGGTTTCAATGGTGGATGGCGACCTCTTTGACAAGCTCGAGGAGATCGCGCGGCGGATAAGAAACAACGGTCGCCCTTTTGGAGGTATCCAGCTTGTCGTGACCGGGGATTTCTTCCAACTGCCCCCTGTACCGGAGTCGGGGAATCGTGAAGCGAAGTTTGCGTTTTCCGCGGCGACTTGGAACACCTGCATAGAACACACGGTCCTCTTGACACACGTCTTCCGTCAAAAAGATCCCGAATTCGCAGAGATGCTAAATGAAATGAGGCTAGGAAAGATCAGTCAGCGTACCATAGACGCCTTTAAGAAGCTCTCCCGTCCGCTGGATTTCCATGACTCTTTAGAAGCTACTGAACTGTAAGACCCTGTTTCCTTCTGTTCGAAAAGGCCTAGGAATAACACGTCTCAGATTTCCGACTCGCGCAGAGGTGGATAACGCAAATGGATTACGGATGAGCAAGCTTTCGGGCGAAACAATGACCTTCCATGCGGTAGACTCTGGAACGATTCAAGACCCACAGGTTCGGGATAAGCTTCTGGCCAACTGCATGGCTCCCCCGGTGATCCACCTCAAGAAGGGTGCTCAAGTCATGCTCATCAAGAACATGGAGGACACTCTTGTGAACGGATCACTTGGGCGAGTAGTTGCTTTCATGGATGAAGCGACCTTCGATTACTACAGGGAAAATGAGGACGAATTTGTCGAAGATGCCGGTTATCTGAGTGACGAGGAGAAGGCAGCCCGCGCCAGGAAGAGAATCAGGGCTCTTGCTCATAAGGAGAAAGAGGACGGCATCAATACAAGCCGCAAATGGCCGTTAGTCTGCTTTGTACAACCGGATGGAACTGAGAGGCATCTACTCTGTCAGCCAGAAACCTGGAAGATCGAGTTGCCGAACGGTGAAGTCCAAGCACAGCGTCAACAAGTGCCTCTGATTCTGGCATGGGCTTTGTCAATTCACAAGGCTCAGGGACAGACCCTGCAACGAGTCAAAGTTGACTTGGGTCGGGTTTTCGAGAAAGGTCAGGCGTATGTTGCGCTGAGCCGTGCGACCTCCCAAGCTGGTCTTCAGGTGTTTGGGTTCGATCCCAAAAAAGTGATGGTGCATCCAAAAGTCATTGAATTTTACCGCAATCTGACGAACATCAACTCTGTGATGAAGCCAAAGAGCGCCAAAGAGCAAACGAAAAGTGCTTCTGGCAATGATCAGAAGAAAGACGGTGATGAATTTGACGATGACTTTCCGGATGAATATATGCAGCAGATATGTGCTTAGCAGGAGTTGTGGAGGTCATTGTCGAGAGGTTCGATGACTGGAAATTCTATCTTATGCTTCTAGGTGAGGTTATCGGTTCCTCACCGATCAATCTTGCTGCTTGTGTATATAATATTATCTAGAAGCCTAACTAGCTGCGGGCCGGCTCTATCAGTCGTGGTCTCATAAACTGTGTACATTAGATGCAGATCAGTCTCTAGTTAAACAGCCAACGGTACACCAGTTATCTGGACTTGGGCATCATTTCTTCAAGTGGCAGAAAAGTAGTGGGTTTCCCGGGCCAATATGTCAATGCACGACAATCTGCCGACTTTGCCTTTTGGACATCTCACTAAGCCTAGTCCAACTATGTTGTAAGCCATACAGCAGCTAAAATGTCCCTGTCACAGGCATTTCTTTGTAGCACTTGACATTTTTCTCAAGCAGTCTTCAACTTGGATGAATAGTGTGAAGTTAATCCTTATCAGTCGGTGGGGCTTGTCGATAAGATATATCATGTGATCTGGCAATTTAGCCCTTATCCGGCATGCTTTCTGTTACAGCGTGGAATTTCACCCAAGACAGTCACAGACGAGGCTGCTTAATTTGCTTCTCCCAACACAGTACAGACACCTTCCTGCCTCAATTGCAGAATGTAGCGCTGAGTTTCTCTCACAGATCTGGTCTGTTTCCTGCATGATCGTCCCACAAACATGGCCTCCGAGTTCATCGGTTACACGGTTCTGGTCACTCTGAAAACACCTCCAAACGCACAAATTCAGGGGACGGTGGCTAATGTCGTTGGGCAGCGACTGACACTTCAGGATGGTATGTGAAGTCTGAAAAGTATTGACAAATTTTATTTTGACAGCGAGCCAGTGACACTGTTGTGGAACGGTCAGCGATTTCCAATCTACCATATCGATGCCCCAGGGATAGCGGACTTGGAGGTGTCAAGCAGTCAACCGCAACGAAACGAGCCGGCATCTGATCGCATTCACACCACTTCTATTGTCAAGCAGAATGAGAATCTTCCCCAGGTCCAGAAGGCTCCGTTGCAGGAGCCGCAAGTGTTGCAATCAAGTCAACCAGTTGCTGCTGAGGCTGCCCAACAAACACCCTATCAACCTTTTATCGATCCCGCAATCCTGAGTTTCTCCAAGCCTGTTCCGAAGTCTAACCCCCCAACTGCCCCTTTGGCAACGCCTGTGACTATAGGAAGTTCCAGTGGCTCTTCTCAAGCAACTCAGACACTTTCGACCCCTTCCAAGCCCACCTATCCTTCGCGAACCTCCGAATCTCATGATTCTGCAGTGGCCGCAGTTTTGACCGAACCGTTCAGTAACATCAACTTGAAGGAGGAAACAAAAGCGGAAGACAAGTCGGATTATGTACAAGAAGAAGGCTCTGTACCTGAGGGAAGGAAGGGAGCGGCGCCACTAGAAACACCCGTCAAATACACGGGTAAAAGAAGCCGGCGTGGAGGGAGAAATAAAGGGCAAAAAGAGGGTAGTACTCCGTTCGATACGATAAACGAGAATGAAGCTCTTCCGGGTCCAAACTTGAAGGGAAATGGCTGGCGACAGACAGCGTTTGTGGAGCCAATGCTGGATGCTGGAAAGCGTCGAAAGGCAAGGAATCGCAAATCATATGCTGAAGATACCAACGGATGGGCAACCGAAGACGCGACCGATATCCAGGAAATGGGCGATTTCGATTTCCAGGGTAACCTATCGAAGTTCGACAAGAGACGTGTTTTCGATGAAATTCGCAATGACGACACGACCGCAGATGAGGAGCGCTTGGTGAGCTTCAACAAACGGCCGCCGAGGCCAGGGACGAACGGCGGCAAAAACCTCCACTGGTCGGAGAATGTCCTAGACAGTCCGACGAAATGGAACAGCGAAGCTGGTGAGACCGATAGCGAAACGAGCGATGACAATGGAAACTATTCGGGACGCGATCGGTCCAGAGCCTCAACACGAGCCCAGTCGTCGAGGAAGGGCAGCGTCCTAGGCCAGAGCTCGATAACCACACAGTATGTTTCTGTTGGTCGTACTCAAAATTCCCGGAACGTGAGTCCGCTCCCCCGCAAACAGTCTACGTCGGCCTCGCCGATGAATGGACCCGTCGGAGCAACTGCCGGCTCCTTGCGATTGACAACTACGAACCGAAGCTGTCCGACTGTCAGCCCATTGCAGATGCTCGAGGTTGAGCAATTAGCTGTTGCAGAGCTTGGTCTGAGCGAAGATATGATTATTGAAAACGCTGGAAGAGGCATAGCAGAGGCAGCTGTCGCCCAACTCTCCAGCGACAGTGCAGCACCGACCGTGCTTGTTCTCACTGGTAACCACCGGACTGGAGGAAGGGCCATCTCTGCGGCTCGTCATCTCCGCAACCGAGGGCATCGAGTGACCCTTTGCGTCCTGGGCCTCGAGCACGAGACGGAACTGTTGGAAAGTTGTCGCAAGCAACTGGAGATTTTTAAGAAAATGGGAGGTCGTGTTTTCCGATGGGAGGAACTTTCAGCACGCCTTTCGACGTCGGATTTCACTGCAGATCTGGTCGTGGATGCGCTGTTTGGGATGCATATCGCATTCGAAGATCTGCGGACTGGTGATCAGGCCACGGTATTTGAGATGATCTCCTGGGTCAACAGGAGCAACCTTGATGTCATATCGGTCGATATTCCCTCAGGAATTTCGGCTTCAAGTGGTAAGCAGTCACTTCTGCCATTTTGTCATTGTCGTACGATGACATCTAATGGTCGACCAGGTGATGTGACCATTGTCCAAGGGGCGCGTCTTTGCGTCAATTCCAAGTCCGTCATCTGCCTTGGGGCACCCAAGACCGGGGTCATGCAAGCATTGCAGTCTGGAGAAGGCAGTTCCTGGCAGCTGGCCGTGGCCGATATTGGCATCAGCCAAGTTGTGTGGAGGAAATATGGAACTCGCCGCCGTCACGGAGTCGATTTTGGGAATCGCTGGGTCGTGCCGTTGCGATACCAACCCGCGGCGGTATGAACGGCGATCTGCTCAGCAATCTGTTTTCCTCGTTTTCGTTGAGATTCTTTTCTTTTTCTTTTCCCTTTTTTTTCTTTTTCTTTTTGGAATGGGCAGGCTTATGAGCGTATATCTTTGGGTGTACTTTTTTAGATACCAGGTGGGAGGAAAAACTGGAGCGTCACGGTTATTATTATGCCTGTACAATAAATTCTCGAACCAAAAGTTGGATGAGCCTTAGGCTATGATTTAGGCAATTTATTTTTATTTGCCTATGATTTAGGAGCAAATCCATAACAGAACAATAATAACACTCCGTATATACATCATCTGCCTGTGGACCCTCACATGCGTATTCCCGAAACGGCTAGCGTGAGATGCGGCGCTGAGGCGATGATGTAGGTGTCGCGACTCGCGCGCCAAAAAGCCGACCAGAATCTCAACTGCATATACCCCGAAAAAAAAAGACTGGGAATAATGGGGAAAGGTGAGTTGACATCGCGCATTGATGTGCTATTGCTTTGACTAACACTCCCGGTTTAGGAACGGATAAGCTTTACGTATGTGACCATTCGCCACCATCTACACCTTCGTCCATTCCTCTGTTTTTGACCTTTCGAACACTTCAGCTGGCTGACTTGATTTAGATAACCCATTCCGAATGGGCGTCTGAGGATGCGTACTCGGCCAGCGTTGGCGCTGGTGTCGCAAAGGCCAGAAAGGGCAAAGTCGACGCCTCGTTCAAGCGTCTTCCGTTCAACTACTGCGCGCTCTCCCTCCAGCCGTTCACGCACCCGGTGTGCACGCCGACGGGGACGATCTTCGAACTGACGAATATCCTGCCCTGGCTGAAGAAGCATGGCACGAACCCGGTGGACGGGACGCCGCTCAAGAGCTCCGATCTGATCAAGCTCAATTTCGCGAAGAACGACGCGGGCGAGTACGTCGACCCGGTGACGTTCAAGGCCTTCTCGGACAACACGCACATCGTCGCGTTGCGCCCGTCCGGAAATGTCTTCGCGTGGGATACGATCGAGCGGCTCAACATCAAGCCCAAGATGTGGCGCGATCTGGTGTCGGACCAGGAATTCGGCCGCAAGGACATCATCACCCTGCAGGATCCGCAGAACGTCGAGTCCCGGAATCTCAGCTCGTTCAAGTATCTGAAGGATGGCGAGAGTGGGTTGACGGAGGAGCAGCTGCGGGAACGGAACGACCCGGCCAATAATCTGAATCTTGATGCCATGGGCAGTTCGGCGAAGATCATCAAGGCGAAGGAGGCGGTCGCGCGAGCCCGAGCGGAGAGGAATGCACAGCAAGCGAGCAAGGACCAGAAGCCGCAGACGTCGAAAGCTGTCTCGCAGCAGCAGCAGCAGCAGCAACAACAACAGCAGTCATTCGGCCCGACTGCTTCAAGTCAGTCAGGGAAACCGGTTCCCTACAACGCCGCCAGACATACGACCGGAATGACAGCAGCATCCTTCACGAGTACTGGCCTGACACCTCGCACGGCCACCGAGCTCGCCCTGCTCACGGACGAACAGTACATGCTGAAACGGGGCAGGGTGAAGATCAAAGGCTACGCGCGGATATCGACGACACTGGGGGATTTGAATCTGGAATTACACACGGAATACGCACCTAAAGCGGTGTGGAATTTTATCCATCTGGCGAAGAAGGGTTACTACAAGGATGTCATCTTCCATCGGAATATCAAGGGGTTTATGATCCAGGGCGGCGATCCTACGGGGACGGGCAGAGGCGGCCAGAGCATCTGGGGGAAGAACTTTGAAGACGAGTTCGAGGGGCCACTGAAGCACGATGCCCGGGGAACCGTCAGCATGGCGAACAAGGGCAAGAATACCAACAGCAGTCAATTGTAAGTTGAACTATCTTTTTCCAAGTTTGAGATTTTCAGTACTAACGTACGTAACAACAGTTTCATTGCATACCGAGCCCTCCCTCACCTCAACAACAAACACACCATTTTCGGCCGTCTGATCGACGATCCCACACCGTCATCGAAGACCTTGGACGCGATGGAGCTTGATCCCGTCGACCCAGCCACAAACAGGCCCAAGACGGACATTCGGATCAAAGACGTGACCGTCTTCGTTGACCCGTTCGAAGAGTTCATGAAGCAGCGCCAAGAAGCAGAAGAAGCAGAAGCGCAACAAAAAGCGAAGAAAGCCGGCGATAGCAAAGACGGTGGTGTGGACGACGACCATATCACCTGGACAGGGAAGCGCGTGCGAGGCTTGTTCGACGACAGTAATAAGAAAGCGTCTGATACAGGCGGCGTGGGCAAGTATCTCAAAGCAGCCCTGGCGGATCAACAGGCTGCTGCTGCTGCTCGCGGTGGAGAGGAAGATGAGATTGTCGAATATGTCGACGACGAGCCAGAACCAGAGCATGTGCGGAAGAAACTGAAAGCGGCAGCAGGACGAAGACCGGGCGAATTTGGCAATTTTGACAGCTGGTAGTGTCATTCTTTTTTTTCTAACTGAAATGGCCGATATTGATGTTTGATTTTTTTTTCTCGTCATCATTATATCTATCTCCCAGGTGGAGAGGCATATCACGATGTATGCATGTACAGTACAGGACTAGATAAGTAGGGTAGGTAGACGGATCGGATTAGGTAGGTATCACAGGAATGAAAGAGAAAAATGAAGTCTCAAAACTGCTGCATCCCTGGTATGTGCAGTATGTATATACATAGAGTCTGTATCTCTTATGAATCGCTATCTCTACCAAACATCAACATAAGTGACAGGGTATCTTGTATCTTCCAAACATAAGCTTCTTTCCGGATATGAGATTAATCAATGACAGACACGTAGATTCTTTGCAAATGCGTCAATATGAAATGCAGTCCCAATGACCCAGCCCAACACAACGCAACCTGGTTCATTCCAGTCCAATCCATGCAATGTCAAATGTCGAACACAGCTTCGTGCTGCTGGATATGATATCCATGTCTATTATATGAAATCAAACAGATAACGTCAACTCCAGGTCAAGCCACTCACTGTATGTACATACATGTACAGACCTGTCGATCGAACTATCTAAATGGAGGACTGCTGGGCATCCCCCGGCCACTCCGGCCGCCTGAACGGCCCACAATCAACCCAGCGGCCCTGGAACCAAGGAAACGAGGACAGCTCCTGCATGCCGGCCCTGGGATCGGGCCGTCTGGCCGGGTTGCGGTTCAGCATGGCGCGGAGGACATCGACGCAGTCCTGCGAGAGGGCCTCGTCGATGGGGAACTCGTAGTTGACGACGCGGTTACGGCGGAGCCAGACCTTTTCGATGGCGCGGTCGATCCTGGCTTCGTCGTAGTGGCCGTGGCGGTTGAGCAGGAAGCTGCGGCACTGCCGGATGCCGCCAGTGTCGTTGTCCCAGTCGGACTCTTCCCACGGCGCGTATCCGTGCAGCAGCTCGAAGACGATGCAGCTGAACTTCCACTGGTCTTCGACGCGCGCGTCGTGCGGCAGGTACACCATGCATTGCTTGCCCCGTCGCCAGCGGTCACACCAGGGTTGCTTGTACATCTCGATGGCCAGCTCGGGGCTGACGAGGTATTCCTGGTACGGGACCGTGATCCAGTGCGAGACCATCCATTCCTCGTCGGTGCGGGCCATCAGGACAAGGCCGACGTCGATCAGTTGTACCTAGACAGACAGGTCAGCACAGCGCCTGCTGACAGCGCCTCTCTTGACGCGCAACGAGGGGGCGGACTTACATCCAGCTTCTCACTGATGAGATAGTTGTAGTGGCTCAGGTCGTCATGGCACATGCCCATGTCCCGCAGATAGACCATGGCCTCGAGGAGCTGCGACGCGATCTTGCAGGCCTGGACCTCGTTGAGGAGGGTCTTCTTCTGGCGAATCATGCTGTGCCCGCAGTAAGGGCGGTATCGCGTGTCATACTGCGAGGGTATCTCGTCGTTCATGCGGGAGTCGCCATCGAGCGCGGAGCTCATGACGATGGTGGAGAAGGCCTTGTGCGTGTAGACCGAGTCGATCTTGGGGAACCGGTCACTCTTGCCCAGGAACAGCATGACGACCGCCTCCTCGGGCATGTAGCACTCTCTGCTGGATGGGCCGTCTTCCCAGAGGCCCATCGTCGGCCTTATTTGGCCCTCCATGGCCTTGTTCAGCGTCCGATGCTCCGCTACCTTGAGGGCGAAGTGCTCGAATTCGCCCGTGGCGAAGCGCTTTCTGCGAGCGGCAAAGACGGTTCCGTATGCTGCGTCGTCAGGTCAGCACTGTAGATATCTAATAGATTGAAGATGGACTAGTCAGTTACTTACAGCCCTGTCCAAGATAGCCATAAACCTCCAACCGATCCAAGAGTTGCCTGCAGACAGAGTTGAAGGTGATCTGGATGTCGCTCATGTGGTTCACCCGCATGGGCTCTGGGGCCTCATTGGCCTGGTAATCAAGATCGTCGGATGGAGCCTCGATCGTTTCCCCATCTTCTACGCACCAGACTTCAAAGATATGAGGGCATCGCGAGAACTGGCGGGACGGGTCTGGCCGGCGATCGAGATAGACCTCGTGCAGGTGCGGGAAGTTGACGCCGCCGGTGTTGGGGTCGAGGATGTCTCGGATCTTGGCTATGTTGTCGCTTTCGAAGGGTTGGGAGCTGTCCATGTTGCCGAGACAGATGGATTCAAGTATCTATGAGATGATTACAATGGGAAGGTGGAGAGAAAAAGGTTCAGGTAGAAGTTCTGAAGGATGAGTATTTATATTTTATTTTATATAGGATCCGCATTGTCAATCTGTCTGAAGTGGAAGCAGTTATCGATAGTACTTCTATTTAAACGTCATCCCATTAACACCAGATTATTGTCGACCAGACAATGGCCATTGAGACAGTCTCCAATAAGTTATAACGCTTCTTGTCTGCCACGCTGAGTGACAAAGACAGACCTCAAACCTCAGAAAATTATGGAATATAGTCTCGACAAGGCATCGACGTCTAGACAATGAATCGGTTCATTGTACAAAATGACAATAAATCTGACAAGAAACAGACAGAAGAACTTCTTTGTGAGAAGAAAGGTCTTTATTTGTCTCTACTGTACAGTACAAGCAGCTCGATAAAGGACAGGGTCCAGGTCTCCTTTATACTTTTATAAAGGACTTCCATAAATAGTATTATATTCACTGAGTAAATCAAGACAGACACAAAGGACTCAAGAAACAAAGCCCCAGCACTGAAAGCAACAAGCACTTTGTTCACGTGTTGCCGTAAAAGGAAATCCCGCAAACGGCCCGAAGCTGCATGAAATACCGCTGTCGGCCCGATACAGCCCACTCTGCAGAAGACAGGAATAAATGCTCAGGGTCCGCCATTATTTAGCTACCTGGTCTAGATTAATTAGTGGCTATGGTCTGCTGCACTTTGGTTGTGTATATACGAGCAATGACTTTCTGTTCTAGGTATGTACTGTGCATGCACATACAATCAATGCAATCTTTCCATGAAAACGAGCCATACAATATAATAAGAGTACACATGTGAAATTTCATTGAGTAAAGACCTTAGGCATATATCTGTATCTACCTAGGTAGATTTACACCCCCCTCGCGTAAAGCGCTCCCCCAGCAGCAAGATCAAACGCCACCGCCTCTTTCAACCCGCAGACAGTGAAGATCTCCCTCACAGAGCCCTCTTTCGCAGGCTCCTGGGTGCCGCTCTCCTTCAGCATCCTGACCGCCCTGCTGACGCTCTCATACACCGGCCCCAGCGCCAGGCCCGGGAAGATGATAACCCTAAACCCGAGCTCCTTGGCCTCGCTGACCGACAGGTCCGGCAACACACCCCCCGGCACGGCATTAAAGAGCACCGGATACGGCGCTAGATCCTCGCAGACCTGCCTCGCCTGCTCCCTGGAGGTCACGCATTCGAGGAACGCGACGTCCGCCCCGAGCGCGAGCGCCTTCTTCAGCCGGCCCACGGCGACGTCGTAGCCCAGCGATTCCAGCGCGTCCGTGCGGGCGATGAGCACGATGTCCCCTGTTTGTGCGCGCGCGTTGACGGCCGCCCGGATTCGTGCCAGGAATTCTTCCTCCGATACCAGCTCCTTGTTGCGTAGGTGTCCGCAGCGTTTGGTCACGACTTGGTCTTCTAGATGCAGGGCGGCCACGCCGGCGCGGATGTATTGCGTGACGGTGCGGCCGACCATGAGGGGGCCTGCATATACAGCCAGGCTGGATGTTAGTTTCTCAGATACTCTGATATCTGCTGCATATCGAGAATCTAGTCCGTGTACGGTACTCACCTCCATACCCCGTGTCCGCATCCGCAATCAGCGGCACCGACGGATCCAGTCCTGCGATCATGGCGGCGTTGTCGCGCATGTCGTTCAGCGTGGCCACGCCCAGATCGGGCATTCCGAGGCGTGACATTGTGGTTCCTGCGCCTGTCTGCAGAGAATTCGTCAGTAAGTGCTGAGCTGTATGTATGTACTTGCCAACGCACCATGTACAGACAATCGAACCCCTCCCTCAGGGCGATTCGGGCTGTGAAGCCATCGTATACTCCAGGACAGACAATTATCTTGTCCTTATCTGCCAGGAGAGCGCGAAGCTTTGCCACGGCGGGATGCTGGACAGTGGTGTTGTTGATAGACGCCATGTGTACTTTTTTTCTCCAAGAAAAAAAATGTTGGACACAAATCATTGGAAAGACACTTTGAGAAGCATTCGACTGATGTACACTGCATGTATATGTCATTTTGTACTGCCCTTAGGAGTGCCAGCCGAGCGGCGGGGTTGATCTCGCCGATGGCGGCCCGAACAGGGTCGATGCGATGATGACCGGCTGGAAAGACTGCATTGATTAATATTTGGTGTTTAGTATTTAATATCTTTATTCCCCGGTGTTTGACTGTCTTTTTTATTCAACTGTACTGTGGAACTTGGCTGAGTTGAATTCACGATTGAGATTGGTCTGCATAACGACGTACCGTACTCCGTATATCGAGCGTCATCATGTCTCAGAGCGAGAGCAGCAAAACAGCGCGCGTTTCGAAACAGCTGACTGATCTGATCGAGGAGGTGAGGAGTATTCGACTACCGTCAAGCGAGTCGGAGGATGGCAGTCCCGGTAGGTTTTCCCCCCTCATACTAAATAAAAGCTTCCAACTGAATTATGTACTGTCCATTCTAGACAATGACTCCAACCTCCTCCATCAAATACAACAGATGATCAAGACACTAGACCAAGCAGGCTACCCGCGCGAGTCGGGCGCCTTCGCCGACGTCCTCTCCATCTGCACAGCACCAAAACAGCTGGGCGGGTTAGGGCTGCATCCGGACGAAAACATCACGGCAGAACAGAGATCAGAGATCCAGTTCCTGCTGTCCGCCTGGCTGGAGTCTCTCAATTCTGCGGATCGCGCAAAGGCCCGTCCCCGACCTTTGGCCTGCCGTCCCCCCGGACGCAGAGCGATGACCCTGTCAGAGAAGATCTTCGCTATGCATGATATTGACCAGAAGGGATATGTCGAGCCGGGACAGATGATCCGTGTGGATGTCGATTGGGTCATTGCCTCGGAGGCTTCGTGGGCGGTATGTACATACATTACCTTCCAGGTACCTTTTTGATCGATGATCGATCTGACGATATGCAGGGCATGGAGCGCACATACGACCAGCTTGGGAAACCGGGAATCTTCCGCAACGACCGGTTCTGGCTGGCGGGGGATCATGTCGTGGATCCTCGAGTCAAGGATCACCCTCAGATTAAACGATTGATCGATGCTAGTGAGAGAGCGAAGCATGTCTTCAAAATGACTGAGTATCAGGGCATGAATGTTCGTCCATACCCCAAAATATATCGGAGTATGCTTTGATCAATGCCTGGACATCTGATATTGATTTGAACAGTATACAATCATGCATACCGAATTCTACCGCGAACGAGCACAACCAGGCATGCTCATCATCGGTTCCGACTCTCACACCTGCTCGTCCGGAGCATTAGGCTGTCTGGCCATCGGCCTCGGAGCAGCAGACGTGACCATGCCGCTCGTCACGGGGGAGACATGGTTCAAAGTGCCTGAATGCGTCAACATCCGTCTCGTTGGCACCCCTCGTCCAGGCGTCGGCGGCAAGGACGTCATCCTGTACATTCTGAAGGAGCTGAAAAGGAACACGGTTGCCGCGGACAGAGTGGTCGAGTTCACCGGTCCTGGACTGCAGTATCTCTCGTGTGATGCGCGATTCGCCATATCGAACATGACCACCGTAAGTCCGCAGATCTCCACCTTCTTTCAATCCAGTACGTACTGAATGGCGAAACAGGAATTCGGTGGAATCACAGGCATTTTCGTCCCGGACGAAATCACATACAACTTCATCAACCGCCGGCGACACCCGCGCTACAAAAACGCAGCGACATACTTCCTCCCAGACGCAGACGCGCAGTACGCAGAAACGCACGAGATCGATCTCTCCAACGTATGCTCGTTTGTCGCCCGATACCCGAACCCAGACGACGTGATTCCGGTGACCGAATTCGAGGGTCTGCAGCTAGACGGTTGCTTCATCGGGGCGTGCACGACGGCGGAAGAAGACCTCATCCTGGCAGCGTTGGTCCTGCAAGTGGGCATGGAGAAGAAAAGGCTGAAACCTGTAAAAAGGGGCAAGAGGAAAGTCGTGCCCGGCTCGCTGCCCATCCTCCAGCGACTGCAGGAGCTGGGGCTCACAGACGTCTACGAGAAGGCCGGGTTTGAGATTGGCGTGCCCGGTTGCAGTTACTGTGTTGGTATGTCAGCCGACAGGGCGGGCGAAGGCGAAGTGTGGATTTCGTCGCAGAATCGGAATTTTGAGAATCGTATGGGGAGGGGTTAGCAATATACACAATATATTGTATTATATTATAATATAACCTGGCTGACAATTGAACAGGCTCGATTGGACACATTTCATCCGCAGCAACCGTCGCGGCGTCGTCGTTTGAGATGAAGATCACCGATCCGCAGCCATTGATCGATGGCGTTGATATCGAGCTGTGGAACCGTCTCAAAAGTTTTTCGACCCGTCCAGCGGCAGTGACGGAGAAAAATGACAGTACCAACGGTCCAGTCTATGTTGAACCCAGTGGATCGCCAGATGAGAGTGCTCCGGCATCAACTTCTTTTGTACCTGTATCTGCAGACAACAACAGCAATGTACCAGAAGTTCCTACAACTTCCACCACGTCGAACATCATCAAAGGCAAAGTGCAGCGGTTAGGGGACTTTATAGACACCGATGCGGTAAGTTCCTGAACTAATAATAATACAGCGAATGACAACAACCAGCTAATCGTCCTGGATGACTACTCAGCTCGCCCCAGCACAATTCCTCGTGAGCTCGCGCACAAACGAAGCAATCGGCGCGCACTGTCTGGAGTACACACATCCCTCTTTCCGAGCCAGAGTGAAAGAAGGATTCGACGTCGTCGTCGCGGGGAAAGCGTTTGGTTGTGGCTCGTCGCGCGAGCAGGCGGTTTCTGCTTTGTTGGGTGGGAACAATCCACCCCAGAACTACCCATCAAGTATCAGGTATTTATGCTAATTGATATGTTTGATTAGGCTGCGGAGTCCGCTGCGTCATCGCCAAATCCTTCGCGTTCATCTTCGCCCGCAACGCGCCCAACCTGGGCCTGTTGGCGCTCACCATCACGGACGAGGCATTCTACGACGCGGCGCAGGACGCGGTGGACATTAGCGTCGATCTCGCTGCCAGGAGGGTAACAGTAGACGGAAAAGAGTCTTTTGGCTTCCAGCTCAGCCAGATGGAACGCGAACTCATCGCCAATGGCGGCATTGCCTCGGCGTTTAATAGGTTTGGTAAGAAGCTTTTCCAGGTCATGTGTGCGCCTAAGAACTTGCGTAGGGAAGATGGGGTGCAGCAGCAGCAGGAGGAACAGGATAAAAAGTCTCTGCAGTGGTAGTGTTTGTGATGTACACGCAGTGTTAATGTAACCTGCTTGTCAAGATGGAAGAACAATTAATTGATCCGATCAACACTCAGCTATTCACACTGATATCCCATCATTATTCATATCTGCAGTATACCGTTTAGCCAACACCAATGAATATATATAATCAGATGTGTAAATTCTCAAGCATAACTCCTGCTGAGAGCCGCTACAGAGAATCTCGGATTCGCACAAAATCCAAATACCTCTCCTTGGTCCACCGCCGACAACGCTTCCCCCAAATCATCATCGGCACCGTCGTCATGACAAAGACAAAGTCCAGCACGGCGATAATGATGAATGTATTCCGCACCCCTTGAGCATCCAGCCAATACCCCGCTGTAAAAGTCAAAATGCAAGCGATGGAGTTGTTGATGACCGACACCCCCACCATCCCCTCCAGGACCATCTCCGGATACGCGTCCATCAGGTACGCCATGCTCAAGTCTCCTGTGCAACCCCATCCGAATCCGATCAAGCCAAGACCGACATACGGCGCAGGCCACGACCAGCCGTACCCCGTGCCAATGCCAAACAGCAGCATCCCCAGCGGGCTGATCACGGCGAGAGGAAACAAAAGCCACAGGCGGTGTTCTGCTTCTTGAATACCGCCATTGCGTCTCGCCAGCCAGATCACAAACTTGTCCGACAGGTATCCGCCGTAGAAACAGCCGAGCACAGCGCCGATGACACACGGTATATTCATCAGACCAACTCCGACGTCACCATAGTTCCACGGCGGACCGCTCCAGTTATCATCCTCGACCGTCAGGTAGAAAGTGAGCCAGGCGTCCTGCGCGCCCCATTGGACTCCAGAGAAGATGACCGCGGGAAAGGAGAAAATGCGCAATGTGTGGAAGAGTCGATTCACATACTGCTTGAAACCAAACCCCACGAGGTTGGAGGCTGGAGTAATCAGGGCGATCCGTTGGAGATAGGTCTTTGGCTTATCATCTGGCGGATTATAGGAGACCGCAGGGTCATTGGAGAGACCTTCGTTTGCAGATGTGGGGGGCTTGGCTTTTTGCTCAATCAGTCCCAGTTCGGGTTCTCCATGAGTGGAGAGCTTGGAATTGCGGACTACTCGGCCATCGAGATGGGCAGAACGGTCAAACATGGTCTCTTCGAGGGTGAAAAGACAGACGACAATGGTAGCACCGGATATGATGACGGACCACCATCCGATCCAGCGCCAGCCAAAGCTGCTATCCGCGATGTATCCTGGAATCAACGGCCCCAGATAGGTGCCAACGCTAGTGGCCAGTACGTAGACTCCAAGGAAGGTGCCGCGCTGATGTTCGTAGAACAGGTCGGAGAGCGACAATTGCACATTCGCCTCCGCACATGCTTCAGAGGCCCCTACAAACAGTTGATTCCAGATCGAGTCTGACGTGGACTGGGTTCTCGCCATCCAGATGGCGCCGATAACGCCCATAGTCAGGCAGAAGAGATAGGTGATCCGCCGGCCCCAGAGCCAGGCCGCGGGAGACAAGAGAAGCGTGCCGTAGCCAATTCCGAGAAACAGCACGCCCGCTCCGGTGTTCATCGCGCCGTACGAGATGCCCAATTCTTCGTTCTCTCCAAACTGAGCCGCCGCCGCGTCATTCGAGGTGGCTGCTGTGAGACCGGTGATGAAGCAGACGAGGAAAGCATGCCAGTATTTGCGCGGTTTGGACCAGTTCAACGGGTCATTGACGGACTTGGTTGGTGGTGGCGAGAGGACAATGTCCCCTTGGTCGAGGAGGCGCGAAGTGCCGGGCAGGTCGTCCATCTCGTTGCATTCCATGGCTGTAGGGGAAAAGCACGCTGGGATCTCTGGCCTGAGGCCAGATCATTCCTCTTTCCGCAGCTCAATTGGTCGCGAACCACTAATTCCCAGTTGGGGGTCGTTAGGGAGGTCTTTCGCGCAACAGTGCTTTTTGCAGTTTCTCTTGGGGTTTCATGTGCGAGGTCCTTTGGGCATCGGGAGAGACGTTGCGAGGAGAGTGCGCGATGGCCGTGTGCGAAATCAGCCAGGGTGGTTCAGGGTACTGCCCCCAACGATCAGAGCCAGCAATCTGCTGTCACGGGTAAAAATTAAAAAGCCGCTATCGCAGTATCAGCGCAGCCCATTATATTAGCCATGGAGATAAGGGATTAAAGGACACCGCGATTGTTCGAAGCTGGAATAAAAATGTCCTGGGCGCGCGCACAGCTGCCAGTTTGGGAATGGATTGACGACCCGCTTAGGGCGGAAAACACGATAAGGAATTCTGGCCCCGTTGGCCATGCTGATGAGCAGTGATAATCATCATGATGTCTCTGCTGAAAGGGACAGGAGAGAGGGCATGTATTCTGGAGAGAAGTGTCTGCTCATGCACTGGTGAGTCTTTCGATTCGACAGCTGAAGGACTGCAATTCATGGATATACCTTGACTGTCAGCATATAACGCCATCCTGCCCAACGGGGGCCGTAACGGTAAGCTTGTCAGGGAGGCATTTGATGCTACCTTACGGAGTACTGTGATGGCCGTCGCGCAGTCTGACTGGCCAGCCGTTCGGCAGTGGATCGTGGGGCAGCTCCTCGACCGCGCCTGCCGAATTGGGTAGCAAGGACACTGCCTGCAAGTTCCATGTTAAATTTTCCGACTCAGTTAAGAGCCAAAGATGCGATGGAACTCCACTGCAGCATCTTTGTGAATGCTGTCATTAATTCTGAATTTGCATATATCTCTGCCAATTCCATGGATGGTGCCGTGCTACCGAGGCATGGATATGAGAATGAGGCTCAAGTCACCGGTTTGGACTACCATCCCATTATGCATGTCCGAATCCTCGATTAATTGGCCAACAGTGAAGGTCCCACAAGGCTGTGTACATACACGTGTGCCCACCTGACAAGTATTGGGCTATTAAGGGTGGCAACATTTGAATCCGAAGCGTTGCTTCCACAGACCGGTTTTTTCCCCCCCTGACCTGCGCGGCTTGTGAGAAAATGTCTGGCATATGCACATCGACCGAGTCAACATGTTGTGAAACTTGACTAACGTATTTGTCAAATGTTCACATTTGGATGGTTGTATTCATATCGATATTCATCTTCTATGCAGGGGCTTCGCCACGTATTTTCTTCTATGCAGTCTGCAGATGGTGATACGACAGCTTGGAGAAAGTATGCGCGATTAAGTTTGCTACCGCACCGTGGGTGTGGATTAGGACAGATACACAACCACTAACGCTCAGACCATGGACAACCTTGTATGACAGCCATTCAACCTGTTCGTCGAGACATGCTTGTATTTGACTATCAACAGGCAGGCAGGAAATATCCAAATTCGGCCCTTTTTTCCCGGATATCAGATCAACTAAATGCCACGAGAGATTGGCTTAGTCTGTCTGAGGCCGCAGTGGCTCATGATGGCAATGTAATCAACTCCTTTGATTAACAAACTCCAAGGAGTGTAGGGATGGAAAGAATGTCCACCCTCGCTTAAAACTTGGAGGAGCAGGATCAGTGATGATAGGCTGTCAATAACACCTGCATTAAGATAAATGTAGGCAACAATCGATATTGTATTGTCTAATCTGGCCTGTGCCCGGGTGAATCTGGGGATCTTGGCTGCAGGCTGCAGCAAACTGTCGGGTGGTAAAGTCGGAACTGTACAATATTCCAGAAGGTTAACCGGTGAACCGGCTGCATGACAGAGATGTCTACATGATGCAGTCAATGCAGATGCATTCTCTGCATCCACCCTTGCGCCGCATGGTTCGAATACAACAGACAGGAGCAGGCAGTCATTGCTTGGCCTGGGGCATCGGGGAAATCTAAGGCAGGCATCTGGGGCGCAGCGTGCCAGCGTCGGGTGGATTGCCCGGGCCACTACGGGCAAGTAGTTCGAGTGCGATGATTGGTCCCCGCAGATGACTCAAGTCCATGGCACAAGGCCAGCACAGCCACTGGAGGGGCGCATGTGGCTTGACTGCCCACTGTGGCTATGCTCCTTCCTCCCTCTTATGTATCCCCATCGCACCTTCTACACCTCTTGCGATTCTCACGATGGACGATAGACGATGGAGCTGCAATGTTGTGCAACCATCTGCTTCGACGCTGTTTAACGCCAGCTTGCGCGCAACTGGGCGCTCCAGGCGATGGCATCTGATCCTCTTCTGCGCTAGCCAAGTCATCTCTGTCTGGGAACCTTCAAGCCCTTTGCCGCCACGCCCTTCAGCATTCTAGCCAATTTACTCCGCCCGCTTGTGACAGGGGGTTTCAGACCGCTTGTTTGTCGGGCAAAGCCTCTGGGTGTGAGCTGCATGGCCTGCAGCTGAAAGGACCAATGCCCTCCCTAACTGGCAGTTGGTCGAGTCCTTGACCTCTCGCCGGGCGACTCATCAGCCGGGGTTACAGCCCATCCAACCAGGGTGTTGCTCAAGGCAGAAATCTCCTTTCGAGGCCGTTGTCATGGCTACAAACATCTGAGCAATGTTCATCATCCCTATCATACTAATTCCACCAGGATAACAGCAAAACCCCCTCTGTGAAACGGTACTAGGCTGAAGTGTCCATCCCACCCTCCTTCATGAGAAGAGGCTCCAGCATCCTCAGGACAAGGCTTGGAAGCTAGCAAGTATTTATTTAGGCTAAACCCCACTCTCTTTCCTTCCAATGCCATCATGTCAAGCATTTTGTTACTGGCTAATCCCTAGTTGCAAAACGAGTACACTACCTGTTCGCTGGACCCAGGCTTGTCTCTGCTGTACTTTACTACAGCTTTCACCTCCATTCACTCTCTTTTGAACTCCCTCTTCCCGGCCCTTTCCTTTTTTTTTTTAATCTTTAATTGCTGGCTTGAGTCTAGCTTGACAGAAGTTGAAGAGGGAGTTATCTACTCGTTCATCTCGTTCATCATTGAGGCTGGTCCCACCACGCAAGCAGTCTCTTGCAGGCCTCGGAAGTTGCCATGAATCCCCGCAACATGATGCCTTCTATTACTCCAATGCATGTTCCTCAATTCTCCGACCAGCGTCCTCGGATTGTCCCTCACCCTCAGGGGCACACCCAAGGATCGATGCCAGGTGGAGTCCCGCCCATGGGACAATCCGTCGGTGATGAAGGTCTCGCCAATCGAATGGGAAAGCTTCACCTGGACAGTAATGCTGCCGGAAAAACTCAGGTAGTAGTGGATCAAGATTACCCCCCCAGATATTCGCAGCCGCTTGACAGCAGTTCCCTGAATCCTCTCTACGAGAGATGGGTATTTTGCCGCTCGGAGCCTGAGAATGGCCAAAAAGCATGTTGGAAGGAAATACCGTGCTCTCAAGCCGCATTGGAGAAAAAGATTCGGGACAGTAAGAAGAAAACATCGGCTATAGATCCGTATCAAGGTCTCGGGAAATCCCTCCGCGCTCAGGTGAACGACTTGATCAGCGCCCATGAAAGACAAGACCCTCGGTTCCAATGGACTTGCGAATATGCGGAACTCAAGAAACAGGAGATAAGGCCAAAGGGAACCTACCTGGGGGCAGTTAAGACCGTCGAGCTGACTGTCGTGATTATGCGCAAGCTACGACCGGAGATCTCTTTAAAGGCCACAAGCTCTTCATCATCGTCGTCTACCAGGAGTCCATTTAGCAAAGTCGTCAATGGAACTCTTGATCCGGAGTCCAAAGGCAACCAGGGAATACCTGGAATGAGCGCACAGTTTGGACGCAGTCCAGTTCAAGGCGCCTTTCCAGCTTCTATGGCTTCTACAGGTCAACACCCGCAGGGTCAGCATTCGGTTCAGCATCCGCAGGCTCAGCATCCGCAGGTTCAACATCCCCAAGCTCAATTTCCACAGGGCCAACCCCACAGGCTCAGCAACAACAAACCCAGCATCCACAGGCCCAGCATCCACAGGTTCAACATCCACAAGCTCAATTCCCACAAGGCCAATACCCACAGAGTCAACAACCATTCTACAGACCTGGTCAAGACTTCATGATGGGAGGACAGAGACCGACCATGGGAACCATGCCACCGCAGCAGAAGGCACACTTTGGTGGCCAACCTGCGATGATGTCCGATCGCGTGGGCTCTGCTAATCCCAAAGGGTCTGTGGGCGTCGAAACCTGGGAGGAAAAGACACCCTTGCATTCGCGAGATGCTGCTGGGCATGCGTCGGCACAATCGTCTGGCTATACAAACACGCCGTTTACAACCTTCGCTCAGCGACCTCGGAAGCCCCAGGCCAACATGGGCGCGCCCAAGGTTTTCCAACAGGGCCGCCACAGTCCCAAATCTCCCAAAATACCCGCACCGGAGCCAAACTTCACCCCGGACACCAGCAGCGTGGAGGACGATGACGACTCTCTGCGGTTCGAAGATGATGAGGATAGTTCAGCTACCGAAGACCTGCCAGAGGATAACTTTGAGAGACCAAAGTATCCTCGAGGAAGTCTACACCCTCAACGCCGACATTCGAAACAGGGGAAAGACGGGCCGTCGTACCGCAATCGCTATCGGAGGCAGTCCCAAAAGATCAGTGGGGGCCGTCAGCATCGTTATTCCGACGATTACGTTGATATCATTCCGGGGAGTAGCCTGCGGGCGCGTCGGGAGCCAGACAGGAGAAACCATTATTATTCCAATCGGCGTGGTCGTCCCAGGGTGATTCATGATGACTTGGGCTCGATTCCTGACAATGACATTACGGATCTTGACGAGAAGATTCGCGAACGGGAACGAGAAAGAGATTATGAATTTTGGTTAGAACAGCAGCTCCGTGCTCGGGACCATATGATTAAAACGCGCCTGTTGGAAGAGAGTCGCCGGCGCCGTGATGAACTGCTGAGGGAAGAGGGCCTCAGACGCGAGGCCCTTGCGTATGGAAAAGCTTTTCTCCTTAACCGTAGGCACTCGCATCGCGTGCCGCGTCCTCTCCGTCATGACTTGGACTATGACTTGGACTACTTGGCTCGAGATGATCTTGTCCTGCTATAGTGATGTGTTTGTGTTTTTGTATTGTTGATTCGAACCATGGTGCTATAGCTTTATGGACTCAGGGGTGGAATGTCGCCCAAAGTTTTCGATTTCTTTCTCTGTGTTTTACTCTCCTTCCTCTATTCTTCTTCTTTCTGTCTTTTTTTTTCTCGATTTGTCTTATCTGAAGAAAACCTCTCTTCACTGCGATACTATTCCGCTCTTCGCGTTCTTTGTATTTTCCATATTCTCAAAACCAGGCATATGTCTTTTCTCTCGTTTTTTTTTTCTTAATTATCTTGCGCCATTATCGTCCCTTAACTGGGTGGTTAGATTTGATCACAAAAAAAGAAAGAATGGACGCAAGAGGAATTGTGATACATCGAATAGTTTCCAGGCTACCAATGGATTTTCGTTCTGGCATGAAATTGTGTTGTGCTGGTCTAGATTGTCAGGAGTGTTTCGAAAAGCAATGTATGGCCTATGGCCTATAGCCTATAGCATGACGATCGCATTTTCACAATCATCATGACTGAGGATAAACGTGCATATTGACGATTGGGAATTGGCGACTGAGCAGGGTCCACCCTCGGCTGTGTTTGTCTGGTTCACCGGGACTCTCATACAGTAAGTCTGGGGGGACCAACATCGCGGTACACAATCGACGCCTTTGTAGAAATCAGAAAACAGACAGAGCTCTGGTCTAGCAATTATTCAGGACGTTCGGGTTGGCGGAGAGGCCGTCAGATCGCTCTGCAGTAACCTTGACCATCATTTCTGCCGTCTCCTCCGGCTTTGCCCGCTGCCCTTTCGTTCCCATTAAATCTATTCGGCCCAAGCTCTTCCCCTCCAGACCTGTCACTGTCTGCCATTCCTCTGAACTGCAGATCTTTATCGCTTTCTATTCTGGATTACTTCCGTCTGTAATTTACAAGAAGCAGTCACAATGCCTCGCAAATTCTTCGTCGGAGGCAACTTCAAGATGTACCATACCCCGCCATTACCCCTCATCCTTCTGCTGTCCCTGTTCCCTCGGGACAACAAATGCTCCCAGGATCATTGAAGCATTCTGACACGATCTTTGGCGATCAGGAATGGAGTTGTCGACTCCATTACATCCATCATCAACAACCTCAACAAGGCCCAGCGTGACCCCAACACCGAAGTCGTCATTGCCCCGCCTTCCATCTACCTGCTGCTGGCCCGCCAGCTGGCCGACCCGCAGATCGCCATCTCTGCGCAGAACGTCTACGACAAGCCCAATGGCGCCTTCACGGGTGAGATTAGCGTCGAGCAGCTGAGGGATGCCAAGATCGACTGGACGATCATCGGACACAGCGAGCGGAGGGTGCTGTTGAGGGAAGACGACGACGTAGGTGATCTGCGTGTCTCCAATTTGCACCAGACTTGTTTGAACCGTGCTGACCTGGCTTGCAAATATATAGTTTGTTGCCCGCAAGGTCAAGGCTGCCATTGACGGTGGCCTCAGCGTCATCCTCTGCATTGGTGAGAGTCTGGAAGTAAGCCACCTCGGACGCAGTATGGAGACAACTGGACCTCATTCTAATTAACTTGATGCTGCATACAGGAGCGCGAAGCGGACAAGACCATCGAGGTCGTGACGAGACAGCTCAACGCCGTCGCGGAGCACCTGTCCAAGGAGCAGTGGGCTAAGGTGGTCATTGCCTACGAGCCTATCTGGTAGGATCCTCTTTAAGCAATTTTGTTCCAGCGACAATTATCAGAATCAATCTAACAACTCCCAGGGCCATCGGCACCGGCAAAGTCGCGACCACTGCCCAAGCTCAAGAAGTCCACTCCGCCATCCGCAAGTGGTTGGCTGACAAGATCTCTCCTGAGGCGTCGGACAACACCCGGGTGATCTACGGCGGTAGCGTCAGCGAGAAGAACTGCAAGGATCTGGCCAAGGAGCCAGACGTGGACGGATTCCTCGTGGGAGGCGCCAGCTTGAAGCCAGCCTGTAAGTCCAGCCAGCCAGCTTGCATTCGTTCCAATATTCGAAAATTGTGCGAGAGTCACACTAACGAGGAATTCCGATCCGCAGTCGTCGACATCATCAACTCTAATCAGTAGAGAAAGAGAAAGAGATGTGGTAAACATGCTATCTATGTAGGTAGCAAGCAAGGAAGCATGTCGTAGCAGCCACAGTCTTGATATAAAGAAACAGCAGCCTGAAGAAGAAAGCAATAAAGACAGACGATGTCGCCCCTTCAAACAAACAAGCATGTGTAGGGGCTGTCGATCATCGATATATGTATGGCAGCCCATTAATACTAATATTAAGATTATTATTGGTGACGGCACCAGAGAATAGTCCACAGATCATATTTAAATAAAAAAAGAAAGTTCAGCCGGTTTTATTATCTATCCATCAATCTATCAATCAATCAAGCATAACACTTCATCTCCTCCTTATCTAATCTAATCTGATCGACTAATCGAGTATCATCATGGATAAATCATATCACTATCACTATCCGAATCGGAATCAGGATCACTCTAAAAGAGAGAGTGAGTGAGAGAAACCTAGAGTTGTACGGGTATTGTATATTTGGGTATCTATTATCTATGTGTGTAACTGTTCAGAGGCCCAGATTCATTCTCGCTTATTATTTGTTTTATTTATATATACAATCATTATCATTATTTTTATTTATTTATTTATTTGTTTGTTTGTTTTTTCAAGAAGAATACAAAATCGACACTCCGACGCCTCGCCAGTAGGATGATCGCGAAGGAGGAGCGCTGCCTCCACCTGCGCTTTGTCCAGTAGTACTACTGCCTCCAGTACTACCACCACTTCCTCCTCCAGAGGAAGATGGCGATGAAGGCGTGGACGATAATGCGGAGAAGGATCCTGGTCCCAGTGAGACGCCCGCCGTGACGAGGAGTTCCTTTACTCGGCCTTCCCAGAGGATGCGCACGTTCCAGGATTGGTCGACGCGGATTTTGACGACGGAGTCGCCTTGTTCTACTTCTTTTTCTTCTTTCTTTTGTTCAGTAGAGACAGTGGGAGGGGTGTCGCTTGGTGGGGTGATGCTGATGCTCCTGCTAATGCCCATCTTGCGTCTTGCCCATTCGAGTCCGTCGTCCTCTGGTTCTGGTGGTGGTTGGGAGGCCGGGCGCCTGCTTTTGCGCCAAAACTCGCAGCCGGCTACCATCTCGCTTTCCCAGCTGTAGACGTTGAAGCCGAAGCGGGAGCTGAAGGCGAGGTTTGGAGAGGCGCGGAGAGAGTATGTCGTCGAAAGAGAGCCCGTGAGAGGCGTGAGAGTTAGCGTGAGGGTGTAAGGGAAAGTAGAGATGGGCCCATTGTGATTTGAAGTTGATGATGAAGACGACGATGATGACGACGAAGGTGCCGGTTCAGTCGCAGCTGGGAGTGTCGTGAACTTCAGCCCCGTAGACAATCCCACAATGGAAGAAACAGGGGAGTAGTACGCTTCTGCGCCTGCGGAAAGGAGCGACAGGCGGGGCGGAGCGGAGCCCTTGTCCTTCGCGGGCAGGGGATCGGGTCCAAAATTCCACAATCCTCGCCAGCCGAACAGCGCGTTGTCGGTGCTGAACAGGTACTCGTTGCAGTATTTGCCCGTGTCGTGCGAGATCTGCGTGAGAAGCGCCGCCCGAGGCGCTGATTTGATCAGAGGCGGGCCTTGGGTCGAGCAGAGGGCCAGCGATAACTGCGTCGTCGGGGAGATGCGACGCAGGAAGAGTGCCGTCAGAGTCGTAGGAGCAGGCAGGTGCAGCGTCGCATACAACAGCGTCGCTTTCCGCTGGATATCTGAATTTCCATCACTGCTGCTGCTGCTGCTGTCGAGAATGGCATCCCATCCCCAATCGCGCACGGGTGCCACGGGCGCCTCGATCTGACGGTATCCGGGGACGAGCTTCCGCAGGGGAATGAGCCCGCTCTTGGACGGCGTGTTATTCAGGGGGACGGTGCTGAACAGATACGATATTGATCCATCGATGAGGCCGACCGTACCGAGAGTATACGTGGTCGCAAAATGCGGCGTCGAGAGCGACGAGAGATGCACCTGCAGGCGCTCAGGGAGAGGGAAGTCAAGCAGCGCTAGTCAATTGATCCAATTAATCATCGAGCTATCAGTATGTGCAATGTGTGGTCCACGTACACTGTGCAGTGGCCGTCAAGGCCGAATAGGAATTGTCGCGGTTCCAGTTGGTCGCTTCGGAGAAGGCGAGCTGGATATAGTCCATGAAGTCCAGCATCGTCGCGTCCGATGGTCAAGCATGATAAGAAAAAGATATAACTAGTAGAATAATTTCAATGTCGCATCTTCATGGCTGGCTGAATTGCACAAGCGCATGTATATAACATAAACGTATACTCCTGGCATGTCATCGGCGTCGTTCTCCGCAGAGCTAATTCCCGAAAGCGGACTAGCGCGGGTTCGGATAAGCGCCCGCATCAACGTTGCTCCTTTTCCTATCAGAAAAATTAATCGAAAAAATAACCACCGGTGGGCTGGATCGCTGTCGATACTCGCCATATCGAGACCACCGTCACCATGCCTCTCTCCAAGCGCGCCCGGATCGTCCACGAGTCCAAGACGACCAAGAAAAACCACAAGGAGCAGACGCGCCGGATCTACGCCAACGTCCGCGAATGCGTCGACAAGTATGACCATCTCTTTGTGTTCTCGGTCGACAACATGCGCAATACCTACCTGAAGGATGTGCGCGCCGAGTTTTCAGACAGCCGGTATGAACTACCTTCCCTCTAGTTGTTTACTATCGCTATTATTATTGTTTTGTGCTAACGTCTCGTCCAGCCTCTTCTTCGGCAAGACCAAAGTCATGGCCGTCGCCCTAGGCCACACCCCGGAGACCGAATACGCCCCGAACCTGCACCAGCTCTCCCCCTTCATGACCGGCGCCATCGGCCTCCTCTTCACCTCTCGCGATCCCCAGTCCGTCCTCTCGTTCTTCGAGTCCTTCCGCCCGCTGGACTTTGCGCGCGCCGGCACCGTCAGCCCGCGCGACTTCGTCATCCCCGCCGGCCTGGTGTACTCGCGCGCGGGCGAGATCCCGCTCGAGGAGGACGAGCCCATCAGCCACACGGTCGAGCCGACGCTGCGCCGGCTGGGCGTCCCCACGAAGCTGGTCAAGGGCAAGGTCATGCTGGAGCTGAACGAGGGCGAAGAAGGGTACCCCGTGTGCCGGAAAGGTGAAACCCTCGACTCGAGACAGACCACGCTGCTGAAGATGTTTGGCATCGCGACGGCAGAGTTCCGCGTCTCCATGAAGGCCCACTGGAACCGGAAGACGGGCGAAGTAACCGTTTTGGAGAAGAAAGATGACGGAGAGATGGAAGTCGAGCAATGACAGTCGGGACTGCTGTTGGGATTTTTTCTTCTCTTTTCTTGTGTCTAATTTTTCTTTCTTCTTTCTGAGCATCTAATGGTGTATGGCGCACTGGAGTTGATTGATTGATTGTACGGTTTTGTTTTGTCTCTTTTTTCGTCTGGTTCTTGATATGGTACGACTGGGTGATATTAAAAAGAAAAAAGCTTGGAAGTAGGCAGTGTATAGGGAAATGATGACCCGTATGACGGAGAATGCACAGAAAAGCAAATGAAACTTATTATTATTACCTCATATATTACTTGACGAGTAAACACATCGACTTTTTTTCTCGTTTCTAACACGACACGACCCGAAGATAGTACTAAAATTACTCCGTATATGAAAAATTATCACCTTGTCTTTCTTTGTTTCCCCCGTAATGTCCCACAAAGTCGTGTACATGTCTTACCTGATCTTTCTTTTTCTTTTTCTTACCTGCTCAGAGAACATTCCACAACTCGCAACCTCGGAACCATCTTGACTGCACGAAAACTCGTGCCCTTCTAAAATACATGTATACTTACCCCCACATGAAGAAAAAGTGGAATGAGAAGACAGAAGAGGAATGGTAAAAAACGGGGTGACGTAGTGAAACATGGGTATGCAGCAAATATAAAAGAATAAAGAAAAAGGGGGAATGCAACAGCCCGGTTGAAATATGCAAACCAGAAACCCCTGCAGGTTTTGAAAAGACACACGCACGTAAAGTGACGTCCATGCGAGTAAAGAGATCATCGAGACCAATGTCGGCGATAATGGAGATTACGGCTGCACCGTAGGTCCTGGACTAATACGCTGCTCAAAATAGGCAGGCCGGCCTTACCCTTGGACGAGAAGGGGAATTGGAGCACTCTGGGCTATCTAAGATACCCACCAGCCTAAGCACAAGCCAGAAGATGGAGACGGCTTAGTACCTCCTTTTAGCACGAGGGTCGTCATAGGAGTCGTCTTCGTGGTATCTCTTCCGCGAATAATCGTCTCGCCCTCCGTACCTGTCTCGGTCGCGGTCTCGGTCTCGGTCGTGGTCGCGGTCATAGTCACGATCGTAGTCACGATCGTAATCACGACGATCTCTATCTCTATCTCCATACCTGTCCCGGTCTCGGTCCCGCTCTCGGTCGCGGTCTCGATCCCGCCGGTCACGATCATCCCGAGGTCTTACCGGTTCCCGATTGCTGCCTGTCGCTTCTCTGTCGCGATCGAACCTGCCACTTCGTCCACCTCCAGGACCAGAAGGGGCATTAGGGGGAGCTTGACCGCCGAATCCATTGCGGCCGCCTTGATATCCGATACCTGCTCTTGGCCCACCAAATCCACGGTCACCGCGGTATCCTCTGTTATAGCCTCCTCCTCCTCCCCTGCCGCCAAATCCACCTCGGAATCCGCTTCCAAAGCCTCCCGGTCCTGATGGAGCATTAATCCCACCAGGACCGAGTGGGCGAGCCGGCGTTGCTTTAGTATATCCACGTCCTCCCAGTCCGCCTCCGAAGCGGCGGGGTCGCCAACCCTTGACTGTGCGACCACGTTCGACATCTACCAGCACTCGTCGGTCTTTAATTCGGATACCATCAGTCTCCTTATAGGCAGCTGATCGTACAAGTTTGAGTTGCGTTAGTCATAAAATCATTGCTGATTGACTAAGTCAAAGGGGGCGGGGACAATACCTTTCATATCTTTTTCACGCTCGTAGACGATAAACGCATATCCTCGATGAGGCTTTTTTGGGTTTGGGTTATGCGTATCCTTGACAATTCGAATCTACAGAGTCAAAAGTTAGCAAGCAGCACACGACCATCTCAAAAAAGAGCGACATTACTCACCCGCTCAATTGGTCCAAAGCGGCCGAATTCTCGCTCCAAATCCGACTCTTTCGCCTCATAACTCAGTCGAGCAACAAAAAGCGTCTTGTACGCGTCCCCTCGAATGTTAGGATCAGCATGCGGGTTATCTAGATGGGATACGTCAGTAATAAGACTCGGCAGAACACAAAGATGCCATCGGGGTGGGAAACTCCTACAGTTCTTAACGCCCTCTGTCAAGAGTTTTTCTATACGCTCCTTCTTCTCCGCCTTCAACCGTGCTTTGCGCTGAAGCCAACACTCGGTGGGATGGTAAGGAACTTCCTCGCCATACTTCTTCAGTTCTTCCACATAGCCAGCGACGCCTTCCAAATTACTCTTCTTGATGTCATCTGGTGCGCGATCGATGGGAGGGAGATAGCGAAGAGGTGGGCGCGGCGCAAAGAGGGCAAGAAGGTTTGGGGGGAGCTTGTCAGTCATTTTGCGCTGTTACTTACTGACCTCCCGCGATGTGTCAGAGGTTAAGGAACTGAGGAAATAGAAAAAAATTCAAAGTAATTAGCAGGACATGAAGACAGATGAGGTTGACGAATATCCAGGTTTTGAGGTCTGCCTGGAATTCACTCAACTGTCAAAAGCCATCATTGAGGAGTCGAGATGAGAATCAGTACGGAAGTTCGTTCGCGTCGCTGCGGGTGAGCTGAGACTCTGGCGTTAGCGCCACATAGACGCGATAGCCGCTCGGCAGTTTCCACCAACCAAACACCGGCAATCGGAAGTCCATGAAAACCGCCCGGTCCATCGAAAACTCCCCGAAGCAGGCGATCACCAGCTGTTCGACAGTGACGGCTGACAGAAAACCGCAGCAATGCCGGTGCAAGGGATACGAACGGTGACCCAGGCCCGAGTACGGCTTACCCTCATTTCAGATGAAACCGAGAGCGTCTACTGACAAGCAAATTCGTTCGTTCTAGAACGGCGTCGGGGCGTTCATCTTACAATGCAAGAGGATGGATTTTCACTATTGCGACTGGGCCGGTAGCTCACGGGGCATGCTGTGAGTGGCATCTCAACTATCTGGACGAACTATCTATTATTCTGACCGGGTTTGATTATCTATTGTTGCAGCTCCTTTCTGAAGCACGACCTCCCCTCGTTCGCAAAGGCCAACCCTCAGATCGAGATCCGCGTTTCCCCACGACCGAACAAACACCCCGTCATCAAGGGCCATTACATCAATGGCCGGCATAAGGCCATCTGCGTCCGGAACATGACGAAAGAGCAAATCCTGCAGAAGGCGAATCTCCTCAAGGAGGCGAGCGGCGAGAAGCTGAAGAGGACGAAGAAGCCGGTCACGAGTTTGAACGAGAGTGTCAGAGGTATCTGGTCACCATACCACGGAGACTTGAAAGTGCTCTAGACCATTATGGAACTGGTGTTAGAAGGAGTGTGCGTTCATTTTACGAGTCGGCGGCATTCATGTATTATATCACACTTGTCTTTTCCCTCTTTCTCTCTTTTTTGGAGTCGTCGAGCTTGATCATGAATGGGATATATAAAAGGATCAATTTTGTCACTGAGCAAAAGCGTGTACGAATGTGTCTCTTTTATTAAGAGAGTTAGGGGAGTGTGAACCCTTCCCAAACTTAAGCAATATTAACCAGGAAAGGAGCTAAAAATTTCATGATAACCTTGAAAAGCCATATTCATTGTACTATAATCAGGTTCTCGAGATAATATCATAGATAAAACCTGCTGAATAAATACCCAAAAACAACCGCAATGAGGGTATCTAGATGAAAGCAATCAAAACACACGAAAAAGGAACCCAGTCCAACGACTACCCATCCGCCATAAATCTATGCAAAACCCGTAAAACGCCAGATGCCATGCTAATGAGCCCGCCAATCCCTTGCTCGAGTAGGGTGGTTCTTCTGGTTTATAGATAAATCTGAAACATCGCTTTTGGGGCACTGACTGGTTTGTCACAGCCAGGAACCCTACACCTTGAAAAATGTTTCGTCTTTGTCTGCGAGGATTGAGCCTTCTTCCCTCTGGCGCGGTTTTTGGCACACTCTCCACAGTAAACCTATAGAAAACCAGTTAGAAAAAGAGTATCACAGTACCGGTAACGGGAACCACGAACATGTCCACAAGGCTTTGCAACCCAGATTTGCTGTTTGATCTCATCACCCGTTCCCAGCTCATGATCACAATTGGGACAGACCACGACATCGTCCTCGTGCGCCGTTCTTGTAAACCCTTCGGGAGGCGGGCTGGGCGGCTTGTATGACTGAGGAGGGCGAGATCGATTTCCCATTGCAAACCCAGGTACCTGGTAATCCATTCCAAAGGGAACATCCATGTCCACGTCGATGGTAAGATCAACGCCTTCTCCTCCATGACCGTCGTCAATCCATAACGTGTCTACCCCATGGGGCGGTTGATGTCGCGTTGCTAAGTCCCGTGCACGCATGGCCACTTCCCGTCTGAAAGCCTCCTCTCCCGATATCATGTCGTTCGAGCCGAATCTAGATGGTCGAAGCCGTAGCATATCGAAGAGACTGGATCGGCCCATGAAACTCCGGGCCCTGGAGGCGACATTCTGTGGCCTCTGTGGCCTCTGTGGCCGCACGGTAGCTCGTACGAATTGTACTTCGGGGCTGCTGGGCGGATCATCACGACGAGGAGGTGGTGGTGCAGGATCAGGCTCCTCTTCCAAATCAACGACATCGGCCATGATATTCCTCCCAAATCGAGGAGGGCGATGGTTACGTGGTCGGTGACTAAGGCCATTATTGCGGGTCGGTTGAGGAGGTGAATCGGGCTCGTTCGTCAAATCGATCACATTCTCTGTTTGAGAGGACGACGACATGACTGGGCGGCGATAGTCGTATCCATCGCCCGGATACCTCATCTGGGGCAGCGGAGGGAGCGCAAGACGATGTGGCTCCCGGGGAGCAGCACTGGAAGAGCTTGAAGGTTCTCCATGTTGCGGCCAGGACGATTGGCTGCCATGGTGCGAATCAGACATTTCACGATGGGATCTCTGCGAGTTGAGACAAAGAAATCGTTAGCAAGACGCTTTCATGCTGCCGCACCGACGAAACAGACGGCCAATGTCCTGTCCCGCAAGAGACTCCCTTCTCGTACCTTTCTGGACCTGGCGGCCAAAAACTGCACACCGGGATCGTCATTCATAGCAGTTCTGGTGGCCAGGTAAAATGATGGAGATCGATGAGAACGGGGCCTGGAAGGAGAAGGAGGGTGGAGAGGCAAAGAATGGGAGGAAGTGCAGATGGGTCGGTTGAGCCCGAGTCCACTGCTACGTCCGGCTGGCTGCCAGAGTTAGGTTACCTGGAAGTGGCGTGCCGCGTTGGTGGAGTAGTTTGGAGGTGGCATCCCGAGCCTTTTGTAAGCTGGCGGACATGTCGGCGCAAAAAGCCCAACATCAAAGACCAACGAAGCCTGAATTCAGGTCACACAGGCGCCAGCTGGTATGGTGACAAGGAGTCACCTGCTTAGTGCAATTTCAACGATGGTGATGGTGTGAATTATACAGAAAGGAATGTGGACGGATGTCACATGACACTACTATTGTTCATCCAGTCTTAGGACCTTAAATCACCAGAGAAGCTATCCTTTGGGACACAGAGCAAGAAAGAAACAAAACTAAAAGTACAATGACCCATAACAATTTAGGTATCATGCTTGTGACGCCAACACCGTGATAACACCCTCCTCATTGAGCGCCAATATGCTCTGGGCGGACGCCCCCCATGCCACTGCAACTGCAGGCACAGCACTGCGAAGCGGCTCCGACCATTCCTTGGTGGATTTGGTATACTGCTGCACGGTCAGACCGTTAGGTCCACCAGTCAGAAGGAATTGGCCAGTGTAGTCCCAGTTCAGAGAGCTGATCCTGGTACCCGTCTCCAAGACCTTGAGCAACTTCGATTTACGCAAGTCCCACACCGAAATGGACGTAGAGTTCTCCGTAACAGCAGCCATGAAGTATCCATTCTCGGAAAATTCAAGACAGGTCACCGGAGCAGACATAGGGAAGCTCGCCGCCGCAGCGCCCGACTTGACATCGAAGATCTTGATCTGCCCGTCCGTGCCGCCCACGGCAAAAAGGTGTCCATCCGGATGGAACTTTGCAGAGATCAGGCCTGCAAATGAGATCAGCCTGGTATTCGAGTGGAAGAGGCAGAAGCATAGGGGATCAAAGGAGCGCAAGGCTGGGGCTCTTACCGGAATCGCTGAAAATCTGTGTTATAGGTGAAGACGTAGTGAGGTCGTAAAGCACATAGCTCTTATCAACACCTACAGACCCGATAATATCGCCAGAAGGGTGTACAGCAAGAGCAGTCACTTCACCAGCATGCGACGTGAAGTTGGCGATTTCTGTGCCATTTTCGAAAACCTTAACAGCGCCCGTGGCAGAAGCCACGATGGCCTTGTTTCCAGCCCAAACCGCATCCGTGACTGGACCACCTGCCTTCAAGGTTTGGACAACCTGCTGTTTGGATAGCGAGTACACGCCAGCAACACCGTCGACGCCGCCAACGAGTACGAGGTCGCCAGTTGGGTCCAAAGCCAGCGACTTCCCACCTGGATACAACGATTCGGTGCTCTGCGCGGGCTTGTACTCTTGAATCGCTTCGCTGGTAGCCCAGCCATCCGGGATTGGGCGTTTGCTCCGCGTCTTGGAGAGCCTGCAGAGGTCAGATGGGTTCAAAGAGACAACTTGCAGAAAGTACTCACTTCTCCTGTGTACTTTCGATTCTGGCAACCACAGCCTGTGGAAGCCCCGTGCTATCAACCTGCATAGTGTCGGCACCTGCGGGTGCACGAGCTGCCCCAACAGAAACCTTGGCGAGCGCATCGCGAGCCTCATCCCGCTCCTTGGTCAGTCTCGCAATGACTCGCACCGCGGCATCGTGCTGGTACAGAGCTGTACTGAGTTCCTGCCTCGTCTGAGCAAGCGCCTGTCGCAGTTGATACGTCTCCAACGCCAGCGCATCCCATTCCTCTTGGAAGACGCTGAGAAGCGAGGGGATCGACGTGAGCGTAGGGGGCCGCGGTCGAACGATGCGTGATGTCTTCACTTCCACCAGATCATCCGTCGATAGCTCCTCCCCTGTTACAGGGTCTTTCCCGTGCTCTGCGATATAAGCTTCGATGAGGCGTTTTTCGAACACATTGCCTAAATTGCGTCAGAGACGAGTGCTATTCAGCTCTTCTCGTGATTGCAACATACCGCTCTTGGTCGAGACGACAGGCACCTGCGGTGCCTCACCGGATACTATTTTTCGAAAAATTAGTAAACTTCGATGCAGTTGGCCTCAATGTGACAGAGACTTACTTGCACACTGCATGATAGGTGGTCGTGTGAGGGATGTTGAGGATTTTGCGGCTCAAGGCAAAAGCTGCAGCTCCAGGCTTTGGCACCGCTTTTGGACTTGCAGGCGCTCGCGAAGGCTTGCCGCGCCGCAGCGACCAATCTAATTCGGCCGTTGCCGCGCTAACTGGTTAATTCAGATCCCACCCCAGATCTCAGCACCCTCGCCTCTCGCCCTTCTCGAATGATTGACTGATAAACAAGCCAGGCTTGTTGGCTTGGTTGTGGTTCCAGATCTTTATATCTCACATGTAGTCATATCGTTCTTTCTGGAAGGCAAAACGGTGCCGTTCTGGATCCTCTTCCCGCAACACATGTGCCTCTGATTCTCGTCCTGCTGTACTTGCCAAAGTCCAACATCCTTAGTCCAATCATGACCTGACGACAATATTCGGTTCATTTTCAGCAGTGGGCTCAATCTGGTTTTCTGAGCTCCTTTTTCCCACGTATTTCACAGATTCTCGGCGCCCATGGCGTTCAACGCGAAGAATTTGCGCTACGGTACGCAGTCTCTAGCTCCTTTTGCTGTAGACTTTCTCCTAACGTATTAATGCACTACAGAGGCGAATGAGCCATCATTCCTTCGAAAGCTTCGAAGTCAATACGGTGGAGTAGACTTCCGCCACGAGCGATCTCAGCAACGCCCGCGCAGACCGAAGGACGATGACGACGATGGCCCAACATACGTTTACGAGGGCACGAACGAATATCTTTCCATGGAAGAGTATGAGGCGCTAGTACGCGGTGAAGAAAAGAAGGACGAAAATGCTGGCCAAGAGGACAATTTGCCGTCCGAGTCCGAAGCTAAGGCATCATCAGAGAAAGAGGCGGACACACTAGACACAGAGGAGGACGGGCCAAAATCCCAGCAGAAACTGGCTGAAATCGGAGGCCAGAAGAAAAGAAAGCAGGCCAAAGTTGTGGGAGAAGAAAACGTAGCAGAGAACGACACGGTGCAAGAAGACAATCCGTCGACCCGTAAACCGAAGCAGAAAAAGAAGAAGATCAAACTCTCCTTTGATGATGCAGAGGAGAACTAAACGTTTTCTGGCCGTACGGCCTGCACATTTAATATATTGGTTTGGAATATAATTCTGCCTTGCTGAGATAGCGTGGTAGTTAATCAAGAATTCGTATAGACCTGTGTCACCGTATTCACCATATCTGTAACAATATCCTAGGTTTTAGGTTAGGAAATCAGCAACTCGAGATATTGTAACGTCTGCCACTCCTGAGATTTAACTCTGTCAATAGTCGAGCTTGGGTGCGTAGTCTATGGTTATTGATGTCCTTCCTGCCTTCTCGACCATTTATGCCGGGTCGATGTTCCGGGAAATATAAATTTTCCATCCATACGAGAAACACTCCGAGCCGCCCGCAGTCATATGTTATTACCCTGCGAACGACAGGCGCTGGAAATATCTGCTATATGCCTGCGAGCGACGCAGGTAGCAGCTTTTCACGATGCCCGTCGTTAACGTCGAGGATCTCATTCGTCTCCAGGGAAAACCTGATGATATCCGAAATGTATGTTTTCTGCCCCTCCACACCCCGCGCCACTTTCCGAAGAAGCTTATATGCTAACGTTCGTCGCAGATATGCATCTTAGCCCACGTAGTAAGTATCTATAACGATTCTGACGCTACTGGGAACTGTCATCTAAGAATCTACTGTCTCGTTCAGGATCACGGTAAGACGTCTCTGACGGACAGTCTCATCGCCACCAATGGCATCATCTCGCCCAAGCTGGCGGGCAAGATCCGGTACCTCGACTCCCGGCCAGATGAGCAGCTGCGGGGCATTACGATGGAGTCATCTGCCATCTCGCTCTATTTTTCTATGCTGAGACGCCCTGCTCCCGACGCAGCACCCGAGACCAAGGAGTATCTGATCAACTTGATTGACTCTCCGGGACACATCGACTTCAGCAGCGAAGTATCGACGGCATCCCGGCTCTGCGATGGCGCTCTCGTGCTCGTTGACGCCGTGGAAGGCGTCTGCAGCCAGACCGTCACGGTGCTGCGCCAGACGTGGGTGGAGAAGCTGAAGCCGCTGCTGGTGATCAACAAGATGGACCGGCTGATCACCGAGCTGAAGATGAGCCCGGCAGAGGCGTATTCGCACCTCAGCAGGCTTCTCGAGCAGGTGAATGCCGTCATCGGCAGCTTCTACCAGGGCGAGCGGATGGAAGAAGATCTCCTGTGGCGCGAGAGGATGGAGGAGCGCGTCAATGCCGCCGCAGCACGGGAGAGGGACCAGGCCAAAAAGCAGGCACAACAAGATGATTCCGCCAACGGTGGTGGTTCGCAACCGCATCCCGAAGTCGACGAGTTCGAAGAGCGGGATGACGAGGATATCTACTTTGCTCCCGAGAAGAATAATGTCATCTTCTGCAGCGCCACCGATGGCTGGGCCTTCACGGTCCGACAGTTTGCAGGCCTATATGAAAGGAAATTAGGTATGAAACGCTCCGTGCTGGAGAAGACGCTCTGGGGTGACTACTACCTGGATCCCAAGACGAAGAGAGTGCTCGGCCAGAAACACTTGAAAGGCCGGGCTCTAAAGCCCATGTTTGTTCAATTGGTATTGGACAGTATATGGGCTGCTTACGAAGCAACGACAGGAGGTGCAAAGGGGAAAGGGTATGCTAGGATCCATCTTCTTCATCGATTGATTCAGTTTGCTAACTATAGTAGTGACCCGGCGATGCTTGAAAAGATTACTAAATCGCTGAATATCACCATACCGCCTCACATACTACGTTCTAGGGACTCGAGGAATATCATGACTACGTTGTTCTCAGCATGGCTGCCCTTATCAACAGCCGTGTTAGTGTCCGTGGTTGAATATCTACCAAGCCCCCGCGCTGCCCAAGCTGCACGACTGCCAGAGATGATTGACGAATCCCCCGCGGCCGAACACGTGGACAAGAAAGTCCGGGACGCGATGATCAATTTCAAAATGGGCAGCGAAGACCCCGTCGTTGCCTACGTGAGCAAGATGGTAGCAATTCCCGAAAGCGAGCTTCCGTCGAACACAAAACGAGTCGGGGCATCCTTGACCGCAGACGAGGCCCGCGAACTTGCGCGCAAGAAGAGAGACGAGATAGCGAGACTGCAGGCGGAGGCAAACGAGCAAGGCGACGAATTCTCTCGGGTTACATCTGCCCTTGCAACTACCAGCTTGGATACGGAACCGTCTCAGACCGAGGAGAAGGTAGACCGGGAACACTTGATAGGCTTCGCACGGTTGTATTCCGGCACACTCTCTGTCGGCGATTCTGTGTACGTCTTGACACCGAAGTTCTCGCCAGCCGATCCACATGCCACCCCGGAACCGCAGAAAGTCACGATCACGAACCTGTATCTGCTCATGGGGAGAACTCTGGAGCCGCTCAAATCGGTTCCTGCGGGCGTTGTGTTTGGAATCGAAGGGCTTGCCGGCCACGTCCTCAAGACAGGGACGCTCTGCAGCCAGGTGGAGGGCGGCATCAACTTAGCCGGACTGTCCATGACAAGTCCACCGATTGTACGCGTCGCGTTGGAGCCAGTGAATCCGGGCGATCTCAACAAGATGATTACCGGTCTCCGACTCCTGGAGCAAAGCGACCCATGTGCACAGTACGAAGTTCTCCCCAGTGGCGAGCATGTCATCCTGACGGCAGGCGAATTGCATCTGGAACGGTGCCTCAAGGATCTCCGGGAGCGGTTTGCCAGATGCGAGATCCAGGCGGGCGAGCCCATCGTTCCGTATCGAGAGAGCATCGTCAGCGTTCCGGAGATGGCTGCTCCCAAGAACCCGGAGCTGGGCAGGGGCGGGGTTCTCGCAGCATCGCCGTCGAAACAGCTGACGATCAAGTTGCGAGTTGTACCCTTGCCCGCTCAAGTCACGGAATTCCTGACCAAAAACGTCGGCACCATCAAACGCCTACAATCAGAGCGGCGAGCGAGGAGCGGCCAGAAATCGTCCACCGCAGCGGAGGAGACAAACGAGAGCATTGAGAACCAGGAAGTTGAGAACAACGAGTCCCTGGACAGGAACGCCATGTCATTGGAGAATTTCAAGAAGGAGCTACGCAAGCTCTTCAGCGAAACGAAGGGAGACGACGAACTGTGGAAGAACGTCGTCGACAGGATCACGGCATTCGGACCGCGACGAGTAGGCCCGAATATCCTAGTCGATGCTACGGCTGCGAATTCGTGCGAGAAATTGTGAGTAAATAACGCCCTGACAGATTAGATGAGATTAGATTAGATTTTATTGACGATTGGCATGCAGCTTGTCCGACGAGCCCAAGCAATACGAGAGAAATCACGAAGACCAAACCCGACAGACGGTCACGGTGCGCGATCTGGCGGACAAGATCACGTACGCGTTCCAGCTGGCGACGGGCCAAGGGCCGCTGTGCCACGAGCCCGTGCAGGGGATCGCCGTGTTCCTGGAGGACGTGGCCGTGCACGCGGGCGAGGAGGATGCCATCGACCTGGGGCGCCTGACGGGCGAGGCGATCCGGTTAGTGCGGGAGTCCATCTCGCAGGGTTTTCTGGACTGGAGTCCTAGGATCTTACTGGCGATGTACAGCTGCGAGATCCAAGCTTCAAGTAAGCAGCCCCTGTCCCCACTACATCTATACAAGATTGCTAATACTAATACTTCAAAAACAGCCGAAGTCCTCGGCCGAGTCTACGGCGTAATCACCCGCCGAAGAGGACGCATCCTATCCGAGATGATGAAAGAAGGCACTCCCTTTTTCACAATCCTCTCACTCCTCCCCGTGGCAGAATCCTTCGGCTTCTCAGAGGAGATCCGCAAGCGCACGTCGGGCGCGGCATCGCCGCAGCTCATCTTCGCGGGGTTCGAGGCCCTGGACGAGGACCCCTTCTGGGTTCCGGCCACGGAGGAGGAGCTCGAGGACCTGGGCGAGTTGGCGGATCGGGAGAACGTGGCGAAGAGGTATATGGATGCTGTGCGGAGTCGCAAGGGGCTTGTCCCTGCGGGACGGAAGTTGGTGGATGCGGAGAAGCAGAAGACGTTGAAGCGGTGAAAATAAAACAAGATAAAAGTAGAAATGTAATTAATCGAATGCATATTACACGTAGTAGTAGTCTTGGTTCATCGTTTTCGATTCATTCAGACGGTACTGTATGAAACAATCAACTTCATACAACTTACATACACACGTATCTACGTACATGTATGTACATACATACGTTGAACGATACACTGTACATCTGTCCCCTCCAACGAACCCTTTGCCAAGTTCCATCGAGAATGAAAACAGACAAGAGGACTTTGGGAAGGGGTACTAGTACTAATACTACTAGTACTACTAGGTCGCTCTTCCTCCCGTGACAACACAGTCCGACATGGAAAAGGTCGTGGCCATGTATACTGGAGAGGTTTGTGGCATGGTATAGAATTACTTGGATGAACTTCTCGTTGTGTGAGAGGTTGGTTCAGTTAAGATAACAGAAAAAATAGAGACTCAGGTGAGATCGACCAGATCAATGAATTCATTCTTCATTCATTCAATCAAGTCGTGGTTAAGATAATGGGTATCAGTTGTATTGTTCATGGTTAGTAGTGTCGAGTGATAGTGATGACTCATTGTGGAATTCTCCATCTTCGGCGGCGTGCTGGTCGTATCAGCCCTACTTTAGTAGGGAGCTGATCTGTTTCCTGTATCTTCAAGCTCTGCCCTTGCCGGTCTCGCAGATTTGGACATTGGTGAATAGAGCTCGCCAAGACTGACGTTGAAGCTCTGCGCCCTCATCCGGGACGAGCTTTGAAAAGGTCTCAGTCTGGAGACCATTCGGAGAGGATAATTATAGGCAAGTGTCGAAAAAGCCTCTCTGCCTGTCGGCTGGCTATTCTCCGCTAAATGTGGTTGAAATGTGGTGGAATGCTGACTTCAGCGTCGTGCACTAAAACGGTCGAGCCACTTTCCTCGACTCTCCAATCCCCGTCACAGGATCTCTCATCTCTCTCCAACTGACCGGATACATCATGTTACCCGCTTCGCTTCGGGCCATGACGACCCCCAGGTCATTGCGCGCCGTCGTAAGGTAATAGAAGCTCTGATCCCCCAGAGAGATGACACTGCCACGCACAATATCGCCCACCCGGAACATCTCCTCCATCACGACGCGGTCCTTCTCAACGGCGCGAACGTCCTCCTTGCGGATCAGCGCCTGGAACCGCAGCTCGTCCGAGGTGTTGTGGTTCTCCGGGTTGGCGGCCGACGCGAGAATGGCGGCAATGTTGTCGTTGTCCGAGGCAGTCTGCTGCGAAGACCCAGGCGCAGAGCCGGCGTCATCCAGCACGACGAGGATGGACACGGTTGCCTGACGCTTCTGGACACGAGTCACCCGCGCCAGCACGATCGAATCCACTGCCGGAAGGGTGTTATATCTGGGTTTGCGGGGTGCTGCGGGAGCTGTAGTCACAGGCTTTGCGCCGAGCGGAGGCGAAGGTTTGTTGTGGACACTGAGCCCGTTGACCTGATCGCCCGCGGGCAGAGCATTTTTGTTGATGCCTGTCCGTGAAACGCTGAGAACGGGCTTCACCTTGGGTCTTGACTGGGTGGGCTCCACGAAGACCGGCCCAGCAATCGAGGCACAGATGACCCCGTTGTGCACGTATGTCCCCGAGCCGGCCGCATAGGACGACGCTGGGGCGAGGTGTTGGCCTGGGACGGCCAGAGAGGGCAAAGGCGTCGCCATACTCCAGTTAACGAGCCAACATCGCCAGCGGGTGCAAATACCCTGCGTGCGTGGGGAGCTGACGCTGAAGTGTGCTGGAAGGAAGAAGGTCGCGTTTTGTGGATGGTTTTTTTTTCCCTGCGCGGTGACCCGTCGGAGTCTCGGCGCTGAGCTCCGCAGCTACTCCGTGCACTACGCCAAGCTTATCAAAAAAAGTCTTATCAAATAGCTGCTTGTAGACTATATCTAGAAAAAGAAAAACCAAATTAATGCAATATTCCAGTCCATAATGAATATAGTATGTATCATAGCTGTTACAGACGATTCGGTAGAATTAAGTTCGGTTCATCGAAACACAAGAAAGACCCGGCTCGTGGTAAGACGCGCCTCAAACAATAAGCCCTGTAAGTAGCAGGACGCATGAACAATAATCAATGAAGTCTCATCCCAATCAAGAAAACGCTCGCACACCAAATGCTGAAAACACCATGGCAATGTCCAGATAAAAGAAATACACCATGCAACAGGTGACGCAACGGTATCAAAGGCAAGAACAAGTATAGCGCTATTAAAGATATAAAACAGTAAGAGAAAGACTAGCCCTCAACCAGGGTCTGTTTCGGCCCTTTGCCGAGGAGCTCGAGAGACCGCCGTGCCAGCGCAACGACCTCTCCTTCTCCATCCTCGGTCTCCTCGTCATCCGACTCGATATTCCGATCGGAAATCCGCTTGACCAGCTGGACAATGTCGTCCGACTTGGAAATCAGCTCAATGAGTTTTGCATCTTCCGACTCGAGCAGCTGCAGCAGCGTCCAGATGGCGATGTGCTGGAAGGTCGGGTCGCCGCTGTCGAGGAATCGAGTCAGGTAGCCGTGGATCCCGCCATTCGGCTCCGTCCAATACCGAACGAAAATAGAGTAGTTTCCAACTGTAGATGAGTGTTAGCAGGAACATTGGAAATGAAAAAAAAATATTGGCCGTCCATACTTTTGGAAGATAGGTTCCCAAGTGCCGCAGCACTGTTCCCCTGCACCTCGATGCTTTCCGAGTCCGTCAGGGGAATGAGCACATCAAACACATCCAAAGCCAGTAGTCGAGGCTTCAACTCATCGCTGAGCGCCAAGACCGCAATCGCAGCGGTCATTTCGGATTGCACAAGCACCGGGACATGTAAGATCAGATCCTTGCACTTCTGCACCGCACCGGCCTGAAGAACAAGTTCTTTGTTGCGATCGGAACTGGCAGCCAGATTCCGTAAGGTCGAAATGGCATGGCACTGGATCTCTTCGTTGTCCGTCGAGCCGAGAAGATCGACGAGAGGTTTCAAGAAGCCCGCGTCGATGATGGGAGACTCGTTGAGGGGGTGGATCGATATATTTCGAATACAGGCGACGGCGGATAAGATGAGCGGCAGGTAGGAGGATTGGAGAAGTCGTAGCAGCGGTGGCAGACCTTTTGCCCGGACGATTTCGAGCTGATACTTTTCGTCGGAGGCCAGATTCCGGAGAGCCAGGGCCGCCTGACACTGGACCTTCGGAGTCGACGAATCCATGAGTTGCACGAGGGACTGTACCAACCGGGACTCGGTCTGAGCCAGTCTCTTGCGGTTGGCGGCATCAACAGCAATGTTGCTGAGGGCGGTCGTGCAGTAGTACTGCACATCGACGTCGGGCGACGACAACAGCTGCACCAGGACTGGAATGGCACCAGCATTGACTAGCTGCTGCCGGTTGTCATCTGACCCAAAGCAGGTTAATTAATATCCACAC